ACCAAACAGGACTGGGAAATGTCTTTTTGTTTAAATCCTTGTGGCTACTAGCTGGGGTGTGTCTGGTGGGTTGCTCTCACATGTTTGACATAAATTCAAAATGTAATTGCCTCATTTATTCTGAGAATATGGCTCCCGTTTGGATTTTTTTCTCACACAGTCTCCACACAGATAATCGGCAACATGTGACATCTTTGCAGACTCCACATTTCCCAGACCTGGTGTATTTACAATGATTGTGCTAAAATGTTCTTTTCTGTTTTTGAGCTTTCCTTTTTTCACCCTGCATGTTGGGTCTTTAGACGTATGCGTCCCCCTGAAGAAATCCTGATCTTTACTTACAGCCAGATCTCACAAACAGCGCTTTACCCTCTCATCCAGTTGTTTTCCACAGCTCTCCTCAATCTTGGCCCACATTTAAAAAAAAAAAAACAGGAATTTGAGAATATTTAAAGCAGGGTGTGAGAAGAAGGTGGCTTTGGAGGTTTGTGCTTGTGATTCAGTGTTTCCCAAGGAACACATCTGGTTTTATTAACCTCTACAATCTAACAAAATGTGGCGAGGCAGAGCATTTGATCCAGAAATAGTCTAGAAGGGCTTGATGGAAACATCAGCTCAGGCAGAAGCCTCTGCCCACAGGAGTGTTTACACAGCTAGAGTACAGTTATATTCCACATCCCAGCCCTCATGTTTCCTGAAAGGATTTATTTGCAACTCAATCGTGATTGGCTGTTCATCAGTTGACTGCTAACTGTAAATGGGTGTTGAATCAGCCAGGGAGGGTCTTCATCATTGGTCATCTTCAGACTGAATCTGACCCTTCTGTTTATTTTTAAAATTGTCTTTAGTTTGGGGTAAAAAAAAAAACGGCCACCAAAGAACACTTGATGCCTGAATGATGTCTTTGACTGGTCCTGGACTCCATCCAGCGTCCCTGTTGGTAATGGGGACATCAGCGAGTTACGGTTTCTGTAAACTACTCAAAGCTCAAGTTCTACTTGTCTGGTCTGAATGCCAAATTATAAAACTTGTTGGTCCGTCCCAGATGTGGTTTAATGTGACCCAAACCAACAGCAGAAGTCGGTTACACAAAGTGAATTAACAGATCCAGCCAAGGAAACCAAATCTGAACCATGATGTCATTCATTCTCTCATTCTGTTGCATGTTACTGTGATATTTGTAGGTTTTATTCTCATTTTTTCCATGTTTTCAAAGGAGAAAATGAACAGAGAGGTCCCAGATGAAATTCCCACATGATGGGTTCCCTTTGATATGCAGCAGGTCCCTCTAAGGGATTTAGATTTTTAACCTTTAATCTCTGATTTGAAGTCATGTCTTCAGTTTGGTGGGACCACATTTGTGTCACACTTCTTATGAAAATAACCCTCGAGCAGCGTTGCTCATGCATTACATGTCATGTGACTAAAAGTCAGCGAGTTTCTCCCTCGTTAACCTTTCTGGACGAGTGGCGACACACCACAGTGTACTTTAATAAGATGAGTGTTGATGCTTGTAAGCTAGGTGACCAAAAAAACGGTCTCTTTAATAATTGGGCTATTCATAAAGATCACATACAGTTTGCCTCAGTCTCTTTTTCATTCTCTTCAAGTCTTCAGTTTGTTCTTTTCCAATTCTCGTGACACGTTTTGAACTGGATAGCTAAAGATAGACATGTCTTCTTCTTCACTGTTGTCTTACTACCTCTTCCCTCTCCTCAGTACCAAATGCTTCATCTTTGTTTTCATAATATTCTCCCAACTCCTTTTTTTTTTAAACTGAGATCATGTCATGTTGAGACTTGGTGGAGTCCTGTTTTGTTGTTTTATGTTGAGTAACATTTTATTTTGAAAGGGACAGCCTTTCAAAGGAATGGAGCCTGCTGACTACCAGATTCAAGCCAGATAGGAATAGATGTTTTTAGCTACAAATTCTTAAACCAATTCTTAAAGTTGAGCTTTAAAAATGCCAAAAACAAAAAATCTTATTTTACTGGAAGCTGCTTAAAGTCACAGACATCCGTGATTGATCTTTGAGCTACTTGTCTACAAACATTCCAACTACGTAGTTATTTTGATTCCATCTTTGTTTGGTGCTTGATTTTGTTTGGTACGTTGGAACTTGACCACCTCGGCAGTTACCTTCCTGTTTTCGGGTTCCAATAATTCATGTTTGTATCGTTGGACCTTTTCCGCAAGACATTTTTCAATCTGCTCCATGGTGGTCACTGGATATGTTCAGTTGTCGTTTTATTGCTTTGAGGCAGAATGGCAGTGCTGTTGACGAAGTTAAAAGATGCAGCATCCTGACCATTCACAGCCTTGCGGTCTTCGGTGCTTTTGAGAGATATTTAGAAAAGTGGGCTCTACTCCGTTCGCGGACATCTTGCATGCCTGTTGGAGAGCCCCTGTGACGAGGAATAATGGCGTTGCGTGTCTCCGCACCGACGTAGACAGAGAAGTATAAGCTAGCCTTCAGACACAGCCTTAAGTCTGCATGTTCCTGCCCACTTCAATGTCTGCTTTATACAAACGTTGGTTTCTGTAACTGCAGAACTAGTCCGAGCTACTGCTGATGCTAGCGTTCTTGTTGGACAAGAGGAAAACTACAAAAAAGAATGTCGGAGGCTGGAGAACACATGGAAAGTTCCAGAGAACTGCACTGGTAATATGCAGACTTTGACTGATTGCCAGGTAGATCCATAGCTTGCTTATTGAAATATCCGGCTACTCTGCCTGGCTGTACAGTGTTACTAGCTTCTGGCAATGTCATAGAGCAATTGGGGTAAACCAGCCAATCAGCACAGAGCTCATTTTATATTCATGTCCGAGCCAAGTGGGCGGGGAAAACCAGTCTTATTATAGCAGGGCTGTATTTTGGGGGTTTGTTTGACCATTTATCAGGCCTTCTGGGCCATTTTGGGCCCAACACAGTTCCACATAGAGGCTCAAAGAGCTGTTTCCAGTTGTAACTGCTGTTTGAGAACATTTTTAAGGTATTCGTCGTGGTACTGGTGTTGCCTTTGTTCCTGAGATAACATTTCGTCTTTCAATGCAACTTCTCTACTAAAAATGTAACCGTTCCCCAGAGGATGAAGAAGAAGAAAAAAACAGAAATATAAATGGCTAACAATCCACTGGGACGGCCTTTGACCCGCAAACATTTCGGCTCAGACCTCTGACCCACCCGTCACCACAGGAGCCAGATGACCCCTGGCCGTGGGATCATGCAGTTCCAGGGGGAGAAAGGCCGAGGCCGGCGCTCGGTCTGTGATCATACGATCACTGAGGTCATGCTCTATAATCTTGAAAGCTGGGTCTCAGGTGGTAATTCACTTAAACCTGCAGCAGGATCTCCTGCTGAGCCTCTGATTCCATTAGAACAACAGCCCCGGAGCCTTTTTGTAAAGTGGTTCATTATGATGGTTTTCCATCTTTGCTGTTTTGTTTTTATTCGGTTTCTAAACACAGGAAACAGTCTGTAAACACCAGTGAGCGCTGGCGGGTTTGAGTGTATGTACGCATGTGTAGAACCTCAGGCGTCCAACAGAGAGGCTGCTCGAAGACACCTCTGAGAATATTGGAAACCGAATAGAGAGGATGGCTTGAGCCGGTCACTCCCTCTTTCTGCTCTCCTGTGATCTCATGCAGTACAGTGAATGCAAACTGGTGTGTCCAGACTCCTCCCGTTCCCAGTAAGTGGCCTGGAAATCCAGAGGACAGCTGGCGTTTCCTGACACCAAGCGGGGTCATAAGGGAAATGAGGAATTCTGCACATCTAATGCTATTTCCTGCTCCGACTCCCACACACATTTGTGAGACGTAATTCTAACGCTCGCGGAGAGATTTGCGTGTCTCCTCCTCCTCCTGCATTAGGCCCAGTTCATCCATGCCACAGCAGGAAGCAGTCCATCATCAACACTGTAATGTAACACCGAAACAAGTGTCCCTCTGCTGCTGAATGTGGTTTCATCATTAGCTGGCTGGAGCTTCACCTGCTGCCCTGTTGCACGCACCCACGAAGGAATAAATATACAAAACTCACACACACACACACGGTTACGCACACGTGCTGCTGGATCAAAGAGACGGGGGACATAACGCGAATAACAGGAGAGGGAACGACGCCTTCTGAAAACATCAGTGGGATTATTTGGGATTATTGTATCTGACTGGCCTGTAGCAAGTTGGAGTTTTGCTCACATCTCTGGAGGAATGTTTTCCTCCTACCAGGGATCAGAAGCATGACTCTGGTTGTTTTTTCCTTCCACATGACGAATGTGTCACCAGATTAGATAACCTTTATTTCTAGTGATTTCAGGCATTTCTGTGATAATATGCAAGCAGCACAAATGGAGACACACTCAGCTTTCAGATATTATCAGAAGTAAACAACCGATGCTTTTAAGTACATTAAGGTTGAGACTCCTCTGCTTTATGATTCAGTCCTTGATTCCATGTTTAGTCTACATTTAGGTGTCACTGGGCTCTGAAACACTTTCTGACATGTTCACGGGTTGTTTTTCATTTATTAGATAAGGGCTGCTGGTGCCGAGTGGGTCAGGAGGATGCCCACTAGAGGGAGCTCTATCATCATCTTTGATCAGAGACAGCAGCAAGGCCTCCAGGTCCACAGCATGAACATGCAGGACGACTGTGTGGTCGGGTTCTAATCTTTGGGTTTCTCAGCTGTGAGGAAGATGCCTCCTCTTCCTCTCCTGGCTTATACTCATTATGTGGAGATGATGGGTGTGTGAGTGGTAGGCAGAGTAGGGTGCCCTCTAGGGGTCTATGTGTGGTTGTCAAGGCAACAGACAGTACTTTTTTTTTCTTTTAAATGTTTTTTGGGTGTGACCTCTTGAATGTACATGGAATCATTTCATGTGTGTGTGTGTGTGTGTGTGTGTGTGTGTGTGTGTGTGTGTGTGTGTGTGTGTGTGTGTGTGTGTGTGTGTGTGTGTGTGTGTGTGTGTGTGTGTGTGTGTGTGTGTGCGTGCATTTAGATGGAGCAGATATCCGACGACGAGCTGGACCATGGAGCCGAGGAGGACAGCGACAAAGAGGACCAGGACCTGGACAAAATGTTTGGAGCCTGGCTGGGTGAACTGGACAAGCTCACACAGGTTAAAGCGCTAACTTACACACACACACACACCACACACACAGAAAGACTGGTGTTACACACAACCTGACTCAACCATAGAAGGAAAGAAGCACCTGTAACCATGGCAACCATAACACTGCTAATCCTGTCTCTTAGATGGTATCCTAGCAACTCTCACCCTTCACTCTGTTGTACAGATGTGTGTGTGTGTGTGTGTGTGTGTGTGTGGTGTGTGTGTGTGTGAGGACTCTAGCAGTCAGACGTTGTTGGATCCTCTGATACGGCCGAAGTTTATTTTTATTTTTACTCATTCCAGAGTCTGGATGACGGCCGGCCACAGAAGGCTCTGCAGAAGCCGCCTCTGAGGCAGGAGACAAACATAGCCAACTTCTCCTACCGCTTCTCCATGTACAACATAAACGGTGGGCCTCCTGTCCAGAACAAAAATTTTCGGTCCACAAATGACCAACCTCATTTTTCGTTCTGCTCGGTGTTTGCTCCTGCAGAGGCTCTGAACCAGGGAGACAGCGTAGACTTGGACGCCCTGATGGCCGATCTGTGCTCCATCGAGCAGGAGCTCACTACCATCTCCAAACCAAACTCAGCCGCTCGAAGCCACAGTAGAGGGCAGCAGAGGGCCCCTGGGGGCCGCAGCGCCAGCACAAAACACACCGGTGGAGGGGGGAGCAGCGGAGGTAGTCCAGCAATAATACTACCACCCATTAGACCTACTCCAGATTTATTTATAAAACTCATATTTTCACAAAGCTGAGATATTCTCTGATGTTAGGAAGATTATACAAATGATATTTTTCATGATTAAAGGCTCAAAATTATGAGATTACACTCATTATCTCACATTGCATTATATATATTTGCAAGGAAGAAAATCCTAACTTTTAGGATTATTTCTCAAATTTATCAGAAAAACTTCCAAATGTTTGCTAAAACTTTAAAAACACATGATTGTAATAAAAATATTATTGTGCGTTGTGAGGATATCTGGAGAATTGATGTTTTTCTTGCCAATATCAGAGCATTTTATACAAAGGAATTGAATCTCGGATTATCTCTTAATTTAACCTTTTTTTTTATAACTGATGTCTTTCTCCGTGTTCAACCCTTCTGCACCAGGAAGTACCAGTAGCAGCACCCGAGCATCACCAGCCAACACGGTACGAGGCGGCAGCGCTCGACCCGTAGCCTCCAACCTTTCCCTGGATGACATCACCTCTCAGCTGGAGAAGGCTTCCCTCAGCATGGACGAAGCAGCACGTCAAACTTCCTCCTCCTCCTCGTCTTCGTCTTCTGTGTCCTCTGCTACTCTCCGACGTCCCTCCTCCGGATCGTGCGGCGGCGGGCAGCACCGGAGGACGGGCTCGGTGGGCATGGTCAGCGAACAGGATGCTCCATCGCAGCGCTCCAGCATGAATTCAGCCTGCGCCTCGGCCTCCAGTATGGACTCTCTGGACACTGAGAAGGTGATGGGAGGAGACGCGGTGGACCAGAGCAGTACGACCAAACAGGGACAGAACCAGACCAGCTCAGAGGTACGACTGCAGGAGTGTGTGTGTCAGATTTGAGGTTAGCTCAGGGTCACTTGCATGTTTTTTAGCAACAAAAAACAACAACATGCAATTGCTAAAAGTTTTCAACGCGTCCTTTTTCTGGCCTTTGTTGTTCTTTAACTAAACATCCTGACTTAACGCGGCAAAATAAAATGTTGACACCCCAGCTAACGCTTGTACTCAAAAGGAGCGTTAACACTAAGCAGCTTGTTGTCGCATGCGCTCTCTCCCCATTGCATGTCTTTATTTGTTTGTGTGTTTTTTGTTTTCTTGTTTGCATCCTTTGATAAATCTCCGGCCTCCTCACACACACACACACCACCTCCTCACCTCTCCCGCCTGCCTGCTGCTCCCGACTCCCAGCATGCCACTATGCGACGGGCCAACGGTAAGACAGCCAGACGGCAGCTCGACTTCACCTCACGGGAGGGTGAAATGGATCGGGCTACTGTAAGTGTGTGAGTCTGCATGGTAGGGCTTGAAAGTGAGATGTTTGTATTTGAATTCTTTCCGTGCTATCATCGCTTCTTTAGCCACCGCAGCAGCTAATGACAGCCACACATTTCTCTCTTCACACTTCTTTATTAAAAACAACAAAACATCAAGTCACCTGCGATTAATAAGCCTCCAATCATCACCCGCCACTGACCTCTCTGTTTTGTCTCTTGCTCTTCTCTCTTCCTCTTCTCACCACCCAAGCATTCCTATCTGGATCGAGAAACCTCGCTCATTCTGAAAAGCATAGCAGGAAAGCCCTCTCACCTCCTGACCAAGGTGATTTGCTTATACACTCACTAATTGATGTGCGTGTGTGTGTGCTGCTTTCTTGGTTTCTGCATGCCTATGGTGGATAAACCAGACTGTACCATCTTTATGAGGTGTTTAGATGAGTTTTTGGGTAATGGTTCCCTAACTTTTCCCAAATCCAAGCAGACTAAACTTGTCGCTGTACTTTCTCTGATCTGCACCATTCTTCCGCAAAAAGATTGAGCGGATTTTAATGAAATTCTCAGAAAGTGATCTTTGGATGTTAATCTACAACTGATTACGTTTTGGACTCGACCTGATTAAAGACGGTAACTGCAGCTTGCTCTGTGGCTCAGTCCCCACTAAGCCCCACCCTCCTTAGTTACTGTTGCTAACCAGGATGAGCCATCGCTGCTAACTGGATGTTTGAAGTGAGAACGATCCGTGCCGAATCAGTTCCTCAAGAGTCTCTTGATAATTTTTGCATAAAACTAAAGTAACTATCTTCAAGAAACCATAAGAAATGTCATAACACCATTGGGTGTTATGCACAAAATTCCACACTGGATTTATGCAAAAAAAAAAAAAGAAACATGAATTTTGAGGCACGGATCTCCAGATCCAACACATTCTCACACCCAAGGCGTCAAAATAGGACGCGTGTGACCAAGCGTCAATATATGACGATTCGGGGCGCGTCAGGATACGACGATCAGGGACAAACAGCTGACGCAGCGTCCCAGAGCGTCCGTATCCGGCGCAGTTGGTGAGACGGACATTAGAACTACTTGTGAGCTACTTAACCTTCCCCTCACCCCAATTCTAACCTTAAGGTCACAGTTTATGGACCTTAAGGTTGGGATTTGGTTGAGGGGAAGGTTAAATAGTAGAATAAAGTCCGTGTGACCGCACGCGTCAAACAGTGACGCCAGCGGAGCCACGTGATCCAGCGTGTCCCTGATCGTCGTCTTCTGATGGGCTGGGGCGTCCCGAATCGTCACATATTGACGCTTGGTCACACGCGTCATATTTTGACGTCTTGGGTGTGAGAATGTGTTCCCAGATCACAAAGCAGGAGGGAAAACCTCATTTAGTGTCAGTCATCTGTAATGAGAGAAAAATGTTGAACACCAGATTCATTTATGTAGAGCAGAGTAACGTTTTATGTTAATTTACTATCCGCTAGCTTAACAATGGCCTGATTATTGGCTCGCTCAAGGAAGCTAATTAACGCGGCTTTATGTGATTGATTCTAAGGCCTTGAGTCTCTACTGCCTCTATAAACAGTCTAGATATGAGAAAATAACATCTACACATTTTCTGTCCGTGTTTGACTTATGTGCCTAAAACGAGCAATTTCAAAATGTTCCTATTTGTGACATCACAAATGGGGAAGTTTGCCTAACATCACGTCTCCAGGCAGGAGGATTAGCAGCTTTACTGTAAACCCCTGCTGGAAGTAAGAGCTGCTCAACTTATTGCAGCCTATCAGGGGATGGGTGGGTGTGGCCAGCAAAAGCTTGCTCTCTTAAAGTGACAGAGCCCTGAACCGGGTTCTGGAAAGTACTGAAACAAGCAAAACTTAAACGGGTGAAATCGCTTTAAGCAAGAAGGATTTACTGCGAAGAATTTTATGAACATGGTTTGTATCCACAGAAATATCATCTCAAGAAAAGTCGTAATGAATCTCCTTTAACTTCTATGACCTGATCTCAAAGATAATACAAGTTTATAGTTGCCACTAGGGTTGGGCGATGGGACGAATGAATCGACCATCAGCGATGGGCTGAGCCGTGACGGTTGTTTTTTTTTACAGGAGGTGGTTTGTTTATTTAGTTGTTTGCTTTGAGTTAATTTGTTAATGACAGATATTTTACACGTTACGCACAGAAAACATCACGGAGGAAACAATTAAGAAAAGATCTCCATCAGCACATCTGAGCCTTTTCTCACCTCCTTCTCCTCTCGCTGCTGACAGTGGGCGTGCTGAGGAGGGGCTCGGAGAGCGTCTGAAGCACTCGACATTGTGCACAACAGCGCGGCGTTGAGTGGAAAGCCTTCTGTCTTTCAGCGAGTCTGAAAGACTTCTGATTGTTTCATTTGGAGAATTTTTTTCTGATTTTAAACCTTTGACCAAAGTAGCGCTCGTCGTTATTCAGCACCTGCTTCGAGTGTGTCAGCGAAGCACGGATCCATCCAGAACATCCTCGAGTCTGTCTGAGTCCAAGTCCACTGGACCTAGTCCTAAACCTCATAACCTCTTCAGCAAGCTCCCTGGAGACGTTTGACTGCACGAGCTGCAGGTGACCAGTTCAGGTTTACGTGGAGCAGAAGGAAAATGCGTTTAGGCCGCAGCAGGTGAAATGTTCCTAATTTAGGTTAAATCTTTTAATTGCATTGTTTATGTTACTGGGGAACTCTAATCAGCATGTTTGGACTAAATATTAATTTAAATGAATGGAAATGTAACGGTATTGAATGGTTATTTATTATTTTAAAAATGAAAGTGACGAGGATAAATGGATCATGCGGTATCAGACCGCGTCCAAAAGCAGCAACGATTCATTTCATTTCCTACTCAAGCTCATAAAAGAAAGGAACCCAGTAGTCTTTGTTCAGGGAAAAAAACATTTTGCTTAAATAAAATACCACGAGGGTGGGGCACCACAATAAAACTAAGACGAGGCTTCTTTTTAACACAGTGTTTAATACGAGCCGTTTATACGCCACGTTACCAAACTATAAATACAAAATTAATCAAAAAGAAGCATCTAAATTTCTCTTCCAGCAAACATTTACACTGCACTTCTATTAAAAAATCTGTGTTTTGGGCTTCTTCTGTGTTCGCAAATTCGCCCGTCTTTTTTTGGACTGACGATTGGCGGTGGGAAAAATTGCCCAACCCTAGTTGCCACATTGAGTTGACTGGGTAAGCCAAAGCTGTATCCTGGGAAATTGTATATAAAAACTTTATTGATTATCCTTTGTGGATACCATGTTGCTTTAGCGTGTTCACTAGTCACATCGTTTTAGCATTTTTGTGTCTTGAAACATAAAAAAAACAAAATAACACAAAAGTGTTGCAGACCAAAGGGGATGTTCCAGCCAAAATTTAAATTTTGTCTGTTGATATATTTCCCAGAGTTAGATAGGTGGGTAAAAAAATAAAAAAATGTTAACCAGCCTAGTCATTCTCCTGACCCAGCTGTACTCCTTTAGCTTTAGCTTAGCATAAAACACAGTAAGTGAATGGATCCAACTAGCATTGTGATTAAAAACATCCTTAAAATCGCTGTGGTGATGCCAATTCTGCTTGGTGACCTAAATAACCATACTGACTGCAAGAGAAAACAATTAGTAACATTATTAACAATAGACATGTTTTCTATTTTGGGTGGAATGTCTCTTTAAGTCCTTCTCGATGGAGCTAGAGGGCGAAAATGTTTTCACAGAAACTGGAATGCTGTTGATTAATCCGTGTTTGGGGATGGTGTTTAGCCACCGGTCAAGTGTTAGAACTCAGTTTTGCAGATATTGAACTCAAGTGAGGTTTTCTTGGTAGATGAAGGTCAATCACAACACAAACGTCCATCTGATCACTGAGATCTTTCCTAAAGATGACCCAAAACACATGCTAGGCATATTTTTGAGCTAGAATAGATGTTTCCTGAAAACTTTTACACATTAAAAGTGTTTGAAAAAGCACAAGAATTAATCATGTTTTAAAACAGTTTTCTGTCATGCATGTGCTGAAAAACAAAAAGACTTGAGTGAAAATCTGCAGCCTGCGACGGATTTCCACATGAGCATGTAAGCGAGCGATCTGCAGCTGCCACATGCCCGGGGAGCGTAGACATCAGAGCAGGAAGGTGCCAGGATTTTTTTCCCCACCAGGCAGAAGGGGCTTTTCATGTTTCCTGTGGTGTAGTGGAGTGTGTAAAAGACAAACTTCTTCAGAATAGGAATCAGAATCAGTGCTTTGTCCTGTAGAGGGAACAAATGAAGCCGCTTGTGTCTGGAAACCTCCCCTAACCTCCTCTCTCACTCAAGTGTCTAAAAGCTCTGAGTTTAATTGCATTAATGTGTTTTAGAGTTGCTCATGTGAAAACGGGAGTCAATGGGGGGGTCGAGGTCGGGATAAGAGGCTTGCAGCACCCCTCACCCCCATCCCTCTCTACACGCACGCATCCTGAAATATTCAGCACTTCATTCACCCCGATTCCGCTCCACATCCCTGCCGCTGGAGTTTAGCTCCAGGGCTGGAGTCAGTCACGGTGTCCCCGCCTCGTCTCCATTGGCCGAAGGGTCCGGCGGAAGCTGCTCACTGGTTGGCCGAGCTTGGATTCTAGTATTTTTGCAGGGGGATTATGCTCCATCGATTGGGCACGCTCCCACAGCCCCCGCTGCTGTTGTACAGGGAGGCGGCGTGCGATGGAAGGAGGCGGGGGGAGGGCCATCATCCTTCTTACTGTCTCATTTGGGGGTTTTGTCAAATCGTCTCCAGCACACACGTGTCCGTAAAAGTCGTGAACAGTTTGACCTCTCCTCTTTCACTGAAGATTTTGGAATCACTGCAGAAATTGTTGGGGTTTTTTTTTTTTCATTTCTGGATCGTTTATGGATGTGTTTGGAAATGTTTCCATTTTTTGAGCGATTTTAGTATTCTTAAGTGGGAATCACAGATGCTCTTTGAAGTCATGCTGCATTCATCTGCAGCCCCTCGCCCTGTAGGGAATCTTCCACCATTGTCTACAGTTTAGAAGGATCAAAGGAAGCTGCTGCAGTTCCATATGAATCCGATCTGAAACCATAAAGCGTTGACGGAGCGCCGTTTTCCGAGGAAACGCTGGACCGATGTCACGGGATTTGGCATCGACTCTCGTATTTGTGTGTTTTTTCCTAAAACGTCTCCACCTGTAGAATGGAGGTGATGGCATCTTGCTGGAGGGGGCAGGTGAGCAGTCAAACATGAGTATGTTTCTGCATGGAACTCCTGCAGCTGGAGGTATTTTTATGTGCATGAAGACCTTTTGTACTCCCGGCGAGACATTTTTGGTGCTAGACGAGTGACTAACCATGCTCCTTTGTGTCCATCTAGGAGGAACAGGCTGCCAAGCTGAAGGCAGAGAAGATCCGTGTGGCTTTGGAGAAAATCAAGGAGGCTCAGGTCAAAAAGGTAGCCATTATCATAACCGTCGAGCCCCTCTGACTCATATAATATACGCTGTCTTGTCATATTCGCTGCGTTTCCTTTGAACTTCATTCAGGCGCCGGAGAAAATAGGTCATTGCGGTGTGGATCTGCTGGGGAGGGAGCAAAGAGATGTGTTAGTGAAAAGCTGTTTTTGAATTCCCCCACAATCCCTCCATTTCAGCTTTTCTGTTCGGGGTACAACTGGAGCACGTCTCCATTGGGAGACGCAGGACTCCCAGTTTGGTCAGAGCTCCTACCAGTGAATGATCCGTTTATGTGAATGGGAGTAATGTCGTGTAACAGAAGGGTTTCATTTTATACACAATGAACAGCTGAAGCTTTAAACCGTCTCAGATAAAGAGCCATGATGCAGCTGCAACCAAAAAAAAGCACTAAGAAGACTGAGATTCGTACAAAATGATCAATGATTCAACTTCTACTCAAACATTTCATTTGTTCTTTAAAAGAGGTTTCTCCGCTTATAAATGTAGGTCAGCCTTTCCCATTCTGAGCTTCTGCTTTATCTTCTTATTGGTTTGACTTTTAGTTCAGTCATCTGCACAAGATGACTGATTGGAAGTCTGGGTCGCAGTGGGAGGGGCAGTGGGAGGGGCTACAACAGCTGGTGGAGGAATGGAGTTTTATCAGACCTCCCACCAGTAGACTGCAGCAGAGGGATGTCAGATATTTATGGATGCACAAGACGATAAAATTACTAGTTGAGGGGGAAATATCCAGTTTAATTTCAGCCGTTTTGACGTCTGTTTCTGTCAAAGTTACAAATAATCAATTTGAGAATGTTTTACGTCACACAGGACGGATGAATGAGCAGTACTGCAGTACTTAAACCCTCCATCAGAGGGCAAAACACAAATATAGGATGTTTTAAATGGACACTATGCAACCTTTTCATATTTTAAAAATTATTTCCTTAAACCAGTATGTGCTTGAATGACCCTTTACAGGGTTCATGAAGTGTCACTCAGACCCCCACCGCCCTCTGTGGCAAGAATATCGCACTTGCAACTTCAGAGTGCCTGATCGGTTTCAGAGTGCCTGATCGGTTCCTGTTGGACATAGTAAAGTGGAACTGACATGCCTGGCACTGCAGTCTGCTTCCAGCATGTTTTCTGCGTGTTTTAGTTTGTAAACACAGCTGATTTGTTTGATTTAGTGATGAACCTCTCCTGTCGAAGCTAATGAAGGAACACTCGCCCGGACGCTGGTCAGTGGAGCCCCCCTCTGGAGCCAGGCCTGGAGTTGGGGCTTTTACTCATGGAGCCCGACTGGGCACAGCCCAAAGAGGAGACATGGGCCCCCTTTGCATGAGCTCACCACTCGTGGGAGGGGCCAAAGGAGTTGGGTGCATTGTGTGTCAGGTGGTAGCTGAAGGCGGAGAACTTAGCGGTCTGATCCTAGTCTACAAAATCTAGCTCTCGGCACATGGAACGTCACCTCTCTGGTGGGGAATGTGGAAACTGGTGTGTGAGGTTGAGAGGTTACAGCTAGATATAGTTGGACTCACCTCAACTCATGGCTCTGGCTCCAGAACCAGTTTCCTCGAGAGGGGTTGGACTTTCTACCACTCTGGAGTTGCTCCCATTGAGAGGTGCTGAGCAGGGGTGGGCATATTTGTTACCCTCCATCTTGGTGCCTGGACGTTTGGGTTTATCCCAATGAACGAGAGGGTAGCCTCCCTCCGCCTACGTGTGGGGTGGATGGGTCCTGACTGTGGTTTGTGTTTATGCACCAAACTGCAGCTCAGACTACCCACCCTTTTTGGAGTCCTTGCAGGAGGTACTGGAGAGCGCTCCTTCCGGTGACTCCCTCGTTCTGCTGGGGGACTTTAACGCTCATGTGGGCAACGGCAGTGAGACCTGGTGAGGTGAGATCGGGAGGAATGGCCCCCTAATCTGAATCTGAGTGGTGCCTTGTTACTGGACTTAATGGATTGTCCATAATGAACACCTTGTTCAAACATTAAGGTTTTCCATATGTGACTCTTTGCACCAGGATGCCTTAGGCCACAGTTCGATGATCGATTTTATTTTTGCTTCATCTGATCTGCAGCCGCATGTCTTGGACACTCGGGTTTAAGAGAAGAGCAGAGCTTTCAACTGATCACTACCTGGTGGTAAGTTGGCTTTGATGGTGGGGGAGTACGCTGGTCAGACCTGGCAGGCCAACACGTATTGTGAAGGTCTGCTGGGAACGTCCGGCGGGGTCTCCTGTCAGAAGGAGCTTCAATTCCCACCTCCGTCAGACTTTCGAACACGTCCCGAGGGAAGTGAGGAACACTGAGTCCGAGTGGGCCATGTTCTGTGCTTCCATTGTTGAGGCGGCTTCCTGGAGCTGCGGCTGCAGGGTTGTCGGTTTCTGTCGTGGTGGCAACCCCCTGGTGGACACCAGCTGTTAGGGATGCTTTCAAGCTGAAGAAAGCGTCTTATTGGGTCTTTTTGTCCTGTGGGACTCCAGAGGCAGCTGATGGGTACCAGCAGTTCAAGCAGAATGCTGCTCAGGTGGTTGCAGAGGCAAAAACCCGGGCATGGGAGGAGTTCGGTTAGACATTGAAGTAAGACTTCTGTGTGGTTTCAAGGAGATTCTGGTTCAAAACTGAGGGGAAAGTAGTGCACTACCAACACTTTGCTGTTGACAACTACTCGGATCGGTGGGCGGAATACTTTGAAGACCTCTTCAATCCCACCGGCACGCCTTCCAGCGAGGAAGCAGAGTCTGGGGACGTTGGGTTGGACTCTCCAATCTCTGGGGCCGAGGTCACTGAGGAGTCGAAAAACTCTTGGGTGGAAAGGTTCCGGAGGTGGATGAGATCAGGTCGGAGTTCCTTAAGGCTCTGGATGTTGTGGGGCTGTGCAGGTTGATGCGGCTCTGCAGTATTGCGTGGACATCGAGGACAATTCTACTAGATTAGCAGACTGGGGTGGTGGTCCCCCTATTTAAAAAGGGGGGCCGCAGAGTGTGTTCCAACTACTGGGGGATCACACTCCCTGAGCCTCCTTGATAAGGCCTAATGATGGGTTCTGGAGAGGAGGGTCCGTCGGACTGTCAAACCTCAGACATGAGATGAGCAATATGGTTTTCGTCCTAGCTGTGGAACACTGGACCAGCTCTGTCCTGGATCCTGGAGGGTGCATGGGAATTCGCTCAACAAATCTACATGTGTTTTATGGATTTGGAGAAGGCATTCGACCGCGTCCCTTGGGGAGCCCTGTTGGAGGTACTCTGGGAGTTTGGGGTACCTGGCCCTTTGATACGGGCTGTTAGGTCCCTGTATAACCAGTGTCAGAGCTTGGTCCACATTGCTGGCAGTAAGTCGATCTTATTTCCTGTGAGAGTTGGATTGCGCCATGGCTGCCCTTTATCACAGATTCTGTTCATTACTTTTATGTTCAGGATTTCTAGACGCAGTCAAGGTGTTGAGGGGATCTGTTTTGGTGGACAATGGATCGGGTTTCTGATTTTTACAGATGATGTGGTCCTGTTGGCTTAATCAGACCGTGATCTCCAGCTTTCACTGGAGTGGTACGCAGCCCAGTGTGAAGCAGCTGGGCCTCTCGGCTCAGGCTGCTGCCCTGTAAATCTAAAACTGAAATGCTGTTTGTGCTGCTCTAAAAGTTAAACGCTTTGATAAAATACATAATCAGTTTCAATCAATCATTCAATCAATCAATCAATTAAACTTTATTTATATAGCACTTAATCATTCAATACATGCAACTCAAAGTGCTTAACAAATTAAAAAGGCCCCGCATACCCACATTCCCTCCCATCCCCAGAGTTTGCTAATTGCTAATATTGACTAGCAGCACTGAGCTGTTTGGAACTATTCAGGGATACATGAACCATGTGACCACGTGTCGGTGAGTTCATAGGCTTTGGTAAAACCTTGATTTTATTGTTATTTAGCTGAAAAACCTTTTTAATAATTGTTTCTGACACTCTGAGTGTTTCATGCAGGCTGAACATGAAAACAGTCTGCTACACCTATCTCCTGCATTAGCTTCTGATAGAAAACAGACGGTGAAACTCTAGGATTTGAAAAGCCGGATCTACGTCTCGCTGTCACTTAACGTTCATGGACTCACCCGTCTTCACTGACGACGTGAAAGGCTGTTGTTGGTTCAGCGTCCAGGAAACGGCAGAGAACGTCTCAGCTAGTAGAAGCTAACCGTTAGCATTATCAGCGTCACCACACAGCAGAACTCCTCCAAGCTTGTGTTATTTGTGGAGATGAAAGATCAACATTGAAGAGCAAATGGAGTCAGTGGTAGAGTTGTGTTGCTGTTAACTAATCAAAGGTGAGATGTCCAAATATCAGGAAATAAAACTCCAAATCCTGTCATCTGCTTTATCCTCTGGCTGACTCGTGCTTCCTGAAACAGGTGCATCTGAGAACCCCACCCCCCACCCCGAGTACAACTCACATGCATTCATTCCTTCTAGAGACCACTGCAAATGTATTGATTAAACAAGCAAACCACACCTTTAAAAATGATTTTGAACATTTTTATTTTAAACGGATGGTACTTCTAAAATAAAAAAATTGAAGAAATGTGAAATTTATTATTTTGCCACAAATTAATACATTACCATGACTGTCCCCGTCCTTTCTCTCCACCAGCTGGTGATCCGAGTCCACATGTCAGACGAGAGCTCCAAGACCATGATGGTGGATGAGCGGCAAACGGTCCGACAGGTTCTCGACAGCCTGCTGGATAAGTCCCACTGTGGCTACAGCCCGGACTGGTCGCTCGTAGAAACCATTAATGAGCTTCAAATGGGTAAAAAATACCAGACAAACTTTCTTTAGGGTTTCTTTCTATTGGAAGTTTAATTCAATAGTTTAAGATTCTGCTACTTACTGAAGAAAAAATTTCCACCAAACTTTAAATTCCTCCTGTTTTCTTCTTCCCCAGAGCGTATTTTTGAGGATCACGAGAACTTGGTGGAGAACCTGCTGAACTGGACCCGAGACAGCCACAACAAGCTCATGTTCATCGAGCGTATTGAGAAATACGCTCTGTTCAAGAACCCCCAGGTGACGTCCATTAAACCGCTCCGGTTGTGATGTAAAACGCTCCTCTCACACAGAGGCCGTGTTTACGCCTGCTGAGAGTGTTTGTGTGGGGAGAAGTAGGTCAGAGCTCTAAAGCGAGTAAAGCTGAATAATTTATTTAACGTTAGATGAGGTATGCTGCCAGCTTCAGCCCCCTCTTGTCATCTCTTCACTTCTCTGCTCCCTTCACTTCCAGAACTACTTGCTGGGGCGGAAGGAGACATCAGAGATGGCTGATAGGAACAAAGAAGCTTTACTAGAGGTGGGATTCTGCACAATCACAATATTTTCCGACATATTCCAGTCTGGGAGCACCGTGTCGATTTGTCTCTGTCTTGGCGTCTGTCAGGAGTGTTTCTGTGGAGGCTCGGTGTCTGTGCCAGAGATCGAGGGAATCCTGTGGCTCAAAGAAGATGGGAAGAAGTCGTGGAAGAAGCGCTACTTCCTCCTCAGGGCTTCAGGGATCTACTACGTCCCAAAGGGGAAAGCTAAGGTCAGCTCAGACCTAAGATTGTGGGCGTTACTCACACACACACACACACACACTAATGATGAGGGGGTTATGAGAACCAGATCCATGCTGTCAGCTCTGTGGAATTTCCTGTTTTGGGATCAATCACTTTGAAGAGCAGATGCAGAAAACAGTGCATGTCTGTTGTTGTTTATTCAGCTAGAACAGCTGTGCACATGTGCTTCACTAACACGCTGCAGTTTGCAGGGACACAATCAGTCGGCATTATGAGAAAACGCTTACTGTCTCCTCCTCTGCAGGCATCCAGAGATCTGGTGTGCTTCCTGCAGCTGGACCACGTTAACGTGTACTACGGCCAGGACTACCGCAGCAAATACAAGGCACCTTCGGACTACTGCCTGGCCCTGAAGGTGAGCTGCTACTGTCTCTGAGACGAGAACACATCTTCACACCTGAGACCTTATCAGTAAGGCTAACTGAGCGAATATCATTATGCTGTGTCCATTTTCTGATGAGAGGAGCATGAGCATGATGATTTGGGTTCGTGACTCTGCCATGGTTCGTAAATTGTGAAATAATGGACAATTATTCTCAGAATTTAGTCTTTATTCACTTTCGAGTGGCCAAAGAAGACTTAATAGACTGTAACATCTAGATGTATCTATTGCTGTAGCACCCCCAAATCCAGAAGAAGTCCCAGTACATCAAGTACCTGTGCTGCGACGATGTCAGGACTCTGCACCAGTGGGTGAATGGCATTCGCATTGCCAAGGTGGGCTGTAACCTGAGCAGATGCTCATAATGAGATATGTATAGGAGGTAAAAATGTTTCATTATTTTGTTTCCTGTTGATGTGTAGTATGGCAAGCAGTTGTATGTGAACTACCAGGAGGCCATGAAGAGGACAGAGGCTGCCTACGATTGGTCCTCTCTCTCTACCTCCAGCATCCGATCCGGCTCCAGCTCTGCCAGCATCCCTGGTTAGTGTGTTTGTTTATGTTAGCAGGAATGAAAGCGGTTAACAGCAATAGCATGCAGTACCGCCCCCTTTTTCCCGTTCCCACCTTTGATCTACGTCCTTATGCTTGTAGAACAGCATGATCTGATCCAGAGTAGGTGACACAAAAACAGGCAAACTACCTTATGAGTTGATAATTAGTATGGTAAAAATTCATAAATCAGTAGGAAAACCCTATCCCTCTGTTCGTGTTTGGCTTTTGAATTTTGGGCATGGAAAGGGCTCAGAGCTCAAAATAAAGCCGTAAACTTCAGAGGTGAGAAAGCTCACAGGTGACAGCTGAGGTAAAGCACTGCAGTGTTCACTGGCCAACCTGAAAACTTCCAAGATATTGAAAATATTTGATTTGAAATAAATTAAATTTGTTCTCATACCCTTAAATAAAAAAAAAATAACCACCCTAAAAGACGCCAAGTCCAATTTAGTAAAAAAAAGAAAAAAAAGAAAAGCTGACGGACATTAATGGTCCCAGAAAGAGAAATGGAAAATAATTTGCAATAATAAAATTCCTATGGCTTACTATATATGCTAGTATTTGGGATGTCTGTGATCCAAAAGCAGAACTTAGTTGTTGGGCAGAACCACGGTTGTCTTTCAAACTGTTTCCACATGCAGTATCTGCTCACGGCTCAAAGAAAAGCCCATGTCTGAATCGTCCAACGCCATTCCAAACAATCCTCGTTCCTAAACCGCCATCTTTGTAGTTTTTCTCCATCGCAGCTCTGGTGCCAAGCTTGGCCAATGTCGCTCTACAAACACAGAGCGCTACAGTTAACCTGCTGAGGCCACAATGGTAGACGTGGCTAGACCGAGCTGCAGGGCAAAATCTTGTTATTGCTACAGTTTGTTTTGATTTCTGAGCCAAAATTCCTACAGAACTCTGATCAGTTGGGCTTATTTATATGTCATCAACAAAAGTCATCAGAGACCAGGAGTCTTAACAGCAGAGGGGTGATGTTCTAGTCTGTAAGGACCTGAACCTCCTCCCTGAGGGTAGGGTATAGAACAGTCCATGATCAAGGTGAGAGGGGTCAGCTGTTATCTGACCTGTGCGTCTCAGAACCCTGGAGGGGTGTACAGGTCGTGTGCTGATGGGAGGTTGCATCTGATCACCTTTTCTGCTAAGCGCATGACGCGTTTGCAGTCTTGGCTCCCACATACCACAGTGATGGAGGAGGTGAGGAGTGACTCGATGATGGCCGTCGTCATGGTTGGCATGCAGTTTTCTCAGCTGATGCAGAAAGAACATTCTCTGCTGGGCCTTCCTGATGAGGGAGCTGATGGACATGTCCCACTTGAGTTATTGCTTGATGGTGGTTCCAAGGAAGTGGCAGAAGTTCACGGTTGGGATGGGGGAGTCTGTCAGTGTTAGGGGGGGCAGTGGAGCAGGCATTCTCCTGAAGTCCACAATCATCTCCACCGTCTTCTGGGCGTTCAGCTCCAGGTTGTTGTTGCTGCACCAGAACGCCAGACGTTCCACCTCCCCTCTGTGTGCAGGGCTCAGTAAATTGAGTGTTTTAAGAGCTTAATATATATATTAACTCTACTTATGACCAATAAGCTGTGATACTCTATCTGAATATAGAATATCAACCTGCTTGGTCTTTACGGTGTTTATCAGAAGATTCTAGGCTTCTTTATTTATTAGGGGATTGTACACACTTTGTTTTGACTCAGAAAAGAGTCGGGTTTATAAAAGTAAGAATTTATTTTACCAACAATTAAAACATGACAAGTTAACTAACAATTACTGTGATGGATGGAACTAGATGTGATGTATAAACCTGTGTGTGAATGCGATGTTAGTCAGAACTTCCGTATCTAGGAGAGCTGAGTTCTGGATGCAATAGAATTTGGTTTGCGTTAAGCTATGAAGTTGATTATTATCAAAAACACATCAGACGCTATCTGTGTGTCTACTTCACCCATTCTCGGAGACCCTCTTTGTGGATCCGAAGGTCAGGGAGGTCGGCTGCCCTCTGGCACTGAAGGGCGGTAGAATACAGTGGCACAAACTCTTCAGTCCAGAGATGTCTCGGGTCACGACAGATGGATGGAACCGCACGTCTGGGACTCTTAAGGAGTCTAAACAATATCAGCTTGTTCTGCAGGAACTGTTTCTGTATCAGCTTTGCAGGTGCAAAAAGATTTAGACGACGTGTCAAAAGCTTTGATGGTTAAAGAGGTTTTTGCTTCAGATGGCCGGTCTGAAGCTTTCTCTACAACTGAGGAATCACCAGAGTGATCTGGTTTTAATGTTCTCATGTTATGATTTGTGTAGCCAACCAGAGGTTGACAAGTTGAGGAATATTACCAAGAATCTCAGAAACACGTCTTCCTTGATACCGGATGCTCTGATCTGGGGTAAAGGACTATCTATGTGTCACGTGTTTGACTTTACTTTGTCCTTGTGTGAGTGCAAATGGTGATGACCTTGTCATATAAACATGCTGAAACATATTTCAGTCTTTCAATGTAATCATAACATAACATTCATTTCAAACTTCAATCACTCAAGCACAGATTAATGAAAGCATTTCATTATATTATAATCATAAGTAGCAATAAACAAATGTTTATTTAATGATTATTTAACTTATAATTTTTAGAAGATAATATTTAATTTAAGAAATCATTCTTTGATTTAGCAACTAATCTGAGCTGCGAGTGTCGCTTATTCAGAGGCATGAAGAATCCTGTAGGACGATAAGGGAAGATTGGACCTTGAGGAGAAAACATTATTGTTGACAATTCATTATCTGTGTTCAGAGCTTTAGAGAGGCTCTGAGCTCCAGCTGATCAATCAATTTCCCTCTGGGATCACTGAAGTTTTTTTGAATTGAATTGAATTGAACGGGATGAAGGCAGGCCAAGGGGACGCATGCAGTCTCGTGTCTCCATTTTTACCAGATGTTGAATGGTCAAACAGTACCTAGAAACTGATCATAGCTGTACATTACAAGACTCATCCCCATCTGAGATGAGGCCAATGATGGTGGTGTCATCTGCAAACTTGACCAGTTTCACAGACTGGTTAGTCTGGCAACGCTCCATTGACGGCTCTCGGTTGTGGGGCGGGTTCTACTGTTGTCTTTCAAATGATCTCCGCATTCCACTGGACAATGAATGTGACATACTCTTGTTTCACTCTGTTGCATCATCCCACCCACCAGGCATATAGAGTGCCCTGACTGGCCCACAAAGTGGATAAAGCTCTGTGATTTGTTCACTAAAGCTTGGTTTATGCTTGGCGCATTCACTTTCCGCGCGGTGATGCGGCTCGCGACTGGAACGTGCTTCACAACTCGCAGCGTTTATGGTTTGTGCGGCTCGTCTCTGCGGTGAGCCAATATTCTCCCAAACTGAACGGGGCAGCATGGAGCTCTACGGCAAGCATCCAACACTACACCATAGTAGAAGTAGAAATTACTGTTTACAACACGGCATTTCAGCATTTTTAACAGTGTTCTCGTCTTTTCCGACAGTGCGAGCTATTTCTCTCCAAGAATTATTAACAACATGTTGATCACGGTGATCTTTGAGAGCTGAATCATACAATTGTCTGTATTTACGAACCTCTGCCGTACTAGTTCTTGCCGGTCCGCCATGTTTTTCCGCGTCTGTCCGTCCGCGTGGTTAGAAATTTTCCGAGTTGCGCGTTGCGGAAATTCTGGGCCGTGTGGAGGGGCGTGGTTGTTAAAATGACGCAAAATGACGCAACTTTTCCGCGCGGAGCCGTGCGGACCTCGCGGACGCGTCAAGCATAAACCAACCTTAAGCAGATAGAGCACTATGATTGGCCCACCATTATGGACCAATCACAGCTCTTTATGTGTTTGAAACCCCTCTAGAGAGCTGTGATTGGCTAGCCAGAATGCTGTTGGGGCTGCAGAGGTTCCAGTGGAGCATGCCTAGACCAAACTTTGCAAAGCAAGAATTTGGTCTAGTTCACTAGGCTACAGACTGGTGGCTGGAGGTACAGTAGTGGGTGTAGAGGGAGAAGAGTAGGGGAGGGAGGACGCAGCCCTGGGGGGTTCTGATGCCAGTGGTCCAAGTGTCTGAGACATTCCTTCCCATCCACATGTGCTGTCTCCTATCTGTCAGGAAGTCTGTGATTCACCGGCAGACGGGATCCGGCACATTCATTAGGGATAGCTTGTCTCTAAGGAGAGCTGGGAAAATTGTTAAATTTCGAGCTGACATCTACAAACAGGATCCTTGCTTAGATTCCTGGAGAGTCCACGTGTTGCAGGGTGAAGTGGTTAATTGTGTCATCCACAGATCTGTTAGCTCTGTAGGCAAACTGCACTTTAGAAAAATCACCAAGTCCACTTGATATTGTGTCCAAATTCAAGCCAACTGTGTGCAAAGACCATAGGTCCCAGTAGTAAGCCCAGAGCAGCGCCATGATGAACTCTAGAGCTTCTTCCATTATTAACACAGTCAAACTGGACTCTTGTGAGAAATCTAAGCCTTAAACACACTTCTCCCTTAATCCCAGCATCACATTCAACCGTCTGTAGCGCTGGTATCCGATAAGACCACGGAGGTCGCGAGAATATCATTAGTAACGTTCACCAGAGCTGAGATGAGCTCTAAAACATGACTGAAACACTTCAGATTACTAATGTGTCGATGCTAACTTTGAGGTTGTTTATAGAGTTAGCTCAAGCTTCTGGATCAAAACCAGATGTCTCGATTAAAAGTAAAGTAAAGATTTTGTCTTGTCAGAGTCCCAGTCCAATCATTCGGGTCATTCGGACAGCGGGGTGGACACCGGATCTTCTCATGGCCGCTCTCAGAGTGTGGTGAGCTCCATCTTCTCTGAAGCCTGGAAGAGAGGAACCCAGATGGAGGAAAGCTCCAAAGTATGTCAACAGTCTGGTTTGTTTAGCTGATTGAGTTCTTGTTGCTGATCTAACCCGATGTTTTCCCAGCAGATGAGATCGGAGTCCTGCCGCGGGTCCACGCATTCCTCCCACAGCCACCGACATCACAGCCAGCACTCAGTGGACCACCCCATCCTCACGCCGTCTCCACAACCTCAACAACATCCACCACAGCCCCATCAGACACCGGTGGAATCCCAGACACCAACCCTACCACGACACCAGCCTCCGTCTCCTCAGCAGGCTCCCCAGATGCCTCCATCCGAACCACCACAGAGTCCCAGTCAGCCGCTCCCATCTCCACAGTCCAATAATGGTTACAGCTACCTTCCCCCACAGCCACCACAGCAGGAGCTAACTCCCCCTCCCCCTCCTCCTCCTCCTCCACCACCACCACCACCTCTTCCACCAGTTCAAACAATGTCACACCACTCGTTGGCCCCCACCATGTACAAGTACAGCACCATCACGAGGCTGCAGAACCAGAAGACTTCTCAGACTGCCAACCATCACAAATTACCCGCTCACCTCAACGCTCAGCAAGTCCTCCCGCCCGCTCCAGCACCTCGTCCACCAGAGGTCGTCAAACCCAATGTCAACCACATCGCTGCCAGGACAAATGTCCCGCCCCCACCGCCACCGCCTCCTCCACCGTGCATGCCCACCCCAGGGTCCGCTATGGCCGTGTTGAGGTTCGGGCCTCCCAGCCCAGCGGCTGCACCTGCCTACGTGTCTGCTCCTTCATCTGTTCCTCAAATCAACGGAACGTCATTTCCTCCCCCTCCGTCACCTCCTCCACCCCCTGCACCAGCTCCCATTAACGAGACCGTTTACACCAACGGGCTGAAGCAGGTGCTGAAGGAGCGGTTCCCCAGCCCACCACGAGATCTCCTGTCTCCTAACGGGGATTTAGAGGAATCCCCGCCTCCTGCTCCAGCGCCACCACCCCCTCCTCCACCTCCTCCTCCTCCGCCCCCACCACCACCTCCACCACCCCAGCAGTTCTTTGTGCCGACCCAGTTCCCACCTCCGCCTGGACCCCCTCCAGCACCTCCCAAAACCTTCACCCCTGGGTTTCTCCCTCAGACTGCTCCTAAACTAATGTCCCCAGTTGCGCCCTTTCCCCCTGCTCCACCTTCTGCACCTATGATGGTGCTGGCTCCACCGCCCCCACCTCCTCCACCGCCCCCACCTCCTGGGCCTGCTGTACTAAAGAAGCAGCTCAGTAACCCCCCACCCACGCTGCCCAAAATGAACAGCGTGTCTAAAACAGCAACTGCTCCTGCAGGAGCAGCCCCTGCCATGTCTTTGGTCAAGCAGCTAGCGAGTCAGTTCCCTGGAGCTCCATCCCAAGCACCTCCACCTTCAGAGTTCCCCAAAGCCCCCCTCTCCCCCCCTGCAGTAAAAACCAAACCCAGATGGCAGCCTGTGGGGAGCCAGCAGCTCCAGTCTCCGGAGTTCCCCCCTCCTCCCCCTGCAGAACACAGCAGTGGCTTCCCTGCATCTCCTCCTCCTCCACCACCACCCCCAGCACCTGTCACAGGCCCAACACCACCACCTCCTCCTCTCCCTCCTGGAAATCTGGGCTCCCCAATGAGGCGATCTCCATCTGGTTCCTCCAGTTCGGGCACAAAGAAACCACCTCCAACCCCTCAGAGAAACTCCAGCATCAAGTCCAACTCCTCCACCTCCTCCTATGAGGAGTCGAGGAGAAACTTGCTCAGCAAATTTGCTCCTCAAAGCAACACCTCCTCCTCATGTTCCATCTCCTCCTCCAATGGTTCTCCTTCCAAGGAGCCCTCAAATGGACCTCCTGCTCCTCCTAAACCAGGAAAACTCAACCTGTCCAACCTCCCTCTGGCCCTTCAGGCCAAAGTGAGCCAGGCGAAGCAGTCCGGTGGGGACTTCCCTTCCCCACCACCCGAATGTGCCTGCTTTCCTCCACCTCCCCCGGTCTCCGAGCTCTTCCCTCCTCCTCCACCTACAGGAAATGACCTCTACAGCGGCGGACCTCCCAGGGTCGCTGTGGTGAACCCCCAGCCCCAAGCTCCCCCTCCTCCGCCGCCCGTCTCCCTTGTAAGCAACTCGATATGGGGAAAGAACTCGTTGAAAAAGGCTCCCCCACCCACACTGGGCCGGCGTAGCAATGCCACCCCAGAGCCTCCACCTCCCACTTCATCACCTCCACCCACATCTCCAAAGGGGAGCTCAGGTCAGCCCAATTTCTTGGAGGATCTCAGTCAGACGCTGAAGCGAAAGTCGGTCAGTCGCCAGGCTGGGAAGCTGGACGTTGTGGGGACGATGGACGACATGGCGCTGCCTCCGCCACCCCCCGAGCTGCTCCTGGACCAAGGGAAGCAGAGCAACGGAGGAAGCGTTGGCTACATGTCGGGAAACATCTCAGGCTATGCAACGCTACGACGAGGACCCCCACCTGCACCTCCCAAACGAGGGGATGCTACCAAACTTACAGGCTGAACTCCGAGGTCGGGACTTAATGAACAGACTTACATATATATAAATATATATGAAAAACCAAACCGATCATGGTCAAATGTGTTTTTTTTTTACCACGCGAGGCAGCGTAGGTCCTTTGAGCAGTTGGTCTTTCAGATTGCCGTTTATAATCCGTTGCCATGTAGGACGTTACTGGATCCAGGTGTGAGCCCAACCACATCTTTGCTTCTTCGCCATAACGTGTGTAAAGGCAACAAAACCCCGTCAGGACTTTTGTTTTATCCGCTTTGATACTGCATGGACCATTGGCTGTAAATCATCAGGCTGTTCCAAGGTGTGTGTGTGTGTGTGTGTGTGTGAGAGAGAGAGAGAGAGAGAGAGAGAGAGAGAGAGAGAGAGAGAGAGAGATGCATGTTTGAGGTAGTTAATGAGAGTCTTTGTGTGTGTTTTTATTTGCTTTTATATAAAATAATTTAAAGAAGATTTGTTTTATAAATGTCTTAATGATCTGATCTACGGAGGTCTGCTGAGATCAGGACGTTGGAATGTATGCGAGAGGCGACTTCAAACATTTGTGCGAAAACTCAAGAATCTCTAGACTGTTTCACCACTCGGCTAATGCAAATCAGAAGGACGCCTTATTCCCAAAGTCCTGCACAGAGGTCAGAAGCTAAGGGGAGATATCTTCCAAAGTCTGGACTGTGCAGATGAACAAAGAGGTGTAGGCCTGTGATGGTGTGTGTCTGTGGAGTGTGTCTACGTTCCTTGTGTGTTGGCTGGATTTTGGACCTTATCCTTCAGCTTGCATCTGTACAGCTGCTTTGCTTTGGTGTCCACCATCGTCTTAAATCATCAACATCTAGGAAACAGACTGAGATCTCATCTCCTTGCACCAGGCGGTCCTGTTTATGGAGGTCTGTTTCATGTACAGGGCATCAAATCATGTATTTAACAACCCATCATCAGACTTAAGTGCTTTCAACTCCGTTTCTTCATGGTGCCGTCGCTGCCTCGTCAGGATGTTTTTATCTATAGAAGTCTACGCAGCAATGCTTTTATTTTGAAGGTGCTGGTGCTGTCCTAATGATGACTCTAAATGCTCCAGGATGGCGTATCGCTAATATTTCACCCCTGAACTCCACAGGAACATGTGCAAGTCAGTTTTGTTTCCACTTGAAGGCTGTTTATCTTTTCTTATAACCCAATAATCATTCTAGACAGGAAGTTTGTGGCGGTAAGTTGTCAGTGTGCTGGTGTGAACATGTGAGGGAAAAGTGAAGTTTAAAAAAAAAAAGAAGGTTGAGGATCAAGTTCTGATGTTTCCTCTTGCATTTAAACTGAAAATCACAATATAAATGTTCAAACTAGACCTCAAACTGGTCTCCGAGTCCTCATTTGTTGGATTTAAAGGGACAATGTGTAGTTTTTTTTATCATTAATCTCTGGAAGTATCCATCAAAATGTTGCTGAAAATGAATTAAATGATTCCCAGTTGGTGAAAAATCTTGGTGGCTTCTCAGCATATAACCATAAAAATCAGGTCTAAAATACATGGGAGTGGGTCTAAGTCTCTGGATGACGCCATATTAGACTCCATATTTCCTTCTACGGGAACCCTTGAGGACAAAATACATTTACTGATTTGTAACAAACGATTATAAAACTTTCACCATTCACAAACGTTTTACACATTTACCTCTTTACCCTTTGCCACTGATGAAAGGGATTCTGATGTTGGCGGCTCGTCATTTTGCTGAAGTTTGCACTCCCCAGGGCTTTTTGACCCTAATGGGCATCCGTTGCAAGGTCTTACTCCAACACAAAAATACAGCTTGCTTGCAACAATTTAGGTATCTACTGCCCCCTATCGCCAGGAAAAATACAGTTACTTTAATGGATTCACCCAAAACAAATGTTCAGTAACTACAGCTCCCTCTGGTGGTCAGATTTCACACTACAGAAAATACACGTTTAAAAGCAACCAAGTAGAATTTTTAACACTTTACAATAAGGGTCCCTTTAGTGAATTTACTTCGTGCATTAATTAATAAACTATTAACTGCTCAATATTAGTGGTAATATTAATTAACGCTTTACTAAGCAGACACGCCTCCTGGCCCTTTGTCCTAAACTTAATGATACTTTATAGTTAATAAAGGGATGCTTTGTTCAGTAATGCTTAATAATGCACCATGCAACGTTAATAAAGGGACTTTTACTGTAAAGTGTTGCTGAGTTTTTATCGTCTTACTAAAAGTCTCATCTCGGACGGCCTCCAACGATTCCAGCTGAATAAAGGACCAAAAAAGTTAATTATACAACTAATTAAGTTTATTATATAGATTTATTTCTTTTTGAAAACCAACAAATTCCTCATCTGGGTACATGTGATTGGCTTGACATTTCTGCAGCAGGCAGTGGCTGAGTTCAGAGGATAAGAAGTTCAGAGGAAAGGATTTTTTTGGTAGGAATGGAGAGGATTGGACTGTTGCTCAGTGGTCATCTTCTCAAGGGAAAGTAAAAATTTAGCATTTCATTTCAAGCACAGGGAGAGAAGATGCAGCAGATCCAACTGGAGTCGCTCCTAAATTAGGACATTATAGAGCTGCACCTGCAACCCTCTGAGCTTTATGGAGATGTTGTCATTTCCCAACAGGACTCTGCACCTGTCCACACTGGTTTAATGAGCCGGTATCCGTGTGTTTTACTGGTCTCCAAACTCCCCTAACATGAATTCCACAGAGATCCAAAGTGGGGGCTTCAAGAGGAAGACACCAGAAGCAGCGATTGGGACCAGCTGAAGGCTCAAATCCAAATCAGTTGGGTTTCTGTTGCACCTCAGCAAATCCGTCGTCTCCATGCCGCACCACAGTGCAGAAACTCGTGCAAAAGGAGTCCTGGCCTGACCTTTGCATGACCCATTTATCATAACTTAAGTTAAAACTTGAAATAGTGAGTGTGGGATGAGTTTGAGTGTCACTTCAAAAAAATGGGTAACGGTTATAACTTTAAGGACATTCTGATCGAGACGTAGGGGCAAACGTAGTCTGGAGCCTTTCAGTGGCTTTAATGACCTGAATGTTAAAAATGTCCCTGAGGGACACCAGCTCAGATTTTAAAAAAAGTGATCAAAGATCCGTAAAGAAGTGAGATAAAAATGTAAACGGTCACGGTGCGTTAGAGCAAATGGCATTTATTTACAATTAAATAATACAACTTACATTTCCTGACGTCTGGCCCCTGATCTGATATAGAGCTGTCCTAAAACAACGACAATCTAAAATATAATTGTTTTAATGTTTAAAGTGAGCAGATTGTAGCTGGAACAGCTTTAACACACTTAATTTTCTGCTTTTTTATAAATCACACAAACACTTTGATATAAAAAAAATACTTCACATTTTGGGAAAAGTAATTAAGTTTTGTAAAACAACTAAATTTTCCAGCTCACACTGATCTGAAAACACTGAAATGAAAACTTCTGGAGAAAGCTGCGCTAAAGAAACACGTTTAAATTCTAAATGTCTTAATTACTGAAAGAACCCTTCAAATAAAGGTTTTGGACTCTCAGCCGGGTTGGTTTACTATGTAAAGTCAACACAGAAGGATCATCGTTCCAGTGTTCCCATCAGAGGCTCCATGGCGGCGACGAAGCAGGCCTCAAACTCCTGATCGGAGAAGCGCGCCACAGATTGACGAGCATTCCGTCGGATCTCCAAGCGGCTGCTAGGCGACAGTGCCAGGATCTGCTCAATGGCTGCAGCGTAGCTGTCCTCGTCGTCCGCCAGGAAGCCGGTTGGACCCCCGTCAAAAGGTATGACGATGTCCATCTTAGGACCTCCGGACTTGTGGGCGAGGATTACCTTCCCTGCTGCCATGCACTCCACCACACCTGAGAGGGGAATGAAGAGTCTAGGTTAAACTTTCACTTAATGAACACTAACAACTGTATATTATGTCTGTTTACCAATCCCAAAGTGTTCGTTCCACATGGTGTGCAGTCCAATCGTGGCCTCCTTCATCTCCTGCTTCAGCTCCTCAAATGGCACATTCAGTTTAAACTCCACCCTGTCGGCTACACCTAGTTCCTGACAAAGCCCCCTCAGCATCAGCACCCTGTCCTCATCCTCCTGGTTTCTACATCCACCAATCAGAACGAGTCTCAGCTCTTCCCGGCCCCTGAGACGCCTCCTGTCCAACACCTTCTTAAAGGCTCTGATCTGCAGCCGGTGGTCCTTCTCCGGCCTGAACTGCCCGACAGAAATTATGGAGTGGCACTTCCTGTCCCCTTCCTCCTCCAGTGGGATGTCCTGGAAGGCGCCGACGTCGCAGGGAGGGTAGACCACACTGGTGCGGTTGGGCGAGCGCCACAGAGACAGGATGTGATCGAGGGTCCAGAAGGAGTTGACCATGATGACGTCGCTGCAGGAGCCGGCCAGGCCGTAGAGCAGAGCGAAGAGGCAGTAGTAGACGAGCTTGAAGGCGCTCAGGAACAAGTTGTTAGCCACAAAGTCCGGGTTGTTGATTCTAAAAGGGGAACTTTGTGTTATTAAGTTGTTAGAAACATTTCTGTTGGAATGAAAAGCTTGTGAATACCTGGGGTGCCGCTCCCTCACCACAGACAGCATGTCTGTGCTGATGGTGGGGTAGTGGACGTAGCTCCCCACGCTGCAGCCTCCCAGGTAGCGAAACAGGGGGAGGGTGAAGGCATAACCCATAGAGTCGATGTAAAGGTCCGGCACAAACTCGGTCAGCGCCTCCCATCCCAGAAAAATGGAGCCCACGCTCTGCCCCAGCAGCGTGAAGTGAGGGAACAGGCTGGGCTCCACCAGCGCACGATGCTGCAAGAAGATGAAGCGAACCGGCCGTGGGAGCACGATGTTAAATCGCCGCCTGGCTCCCTCCAGCATCTGCTGCCCTGTCACCCCCACGTCCCCCGTGTACACCACGAAATTCACATCTGCATACCTGCAGCACAAATAAAATGACTACCTGGATTCTTCAAAAATGTTTTGCTGCATTTGCTGATTACCTGACCTGTTTTGTAGAGCCCTGATGGCACACCACAGTACCCTCTCCCCTCCTCCACCGGCGTTGCAGTAAGGGTGAAAAAACGCCACGGAGGGGCAGCCTTCCCTCGCCCGCCGGGCGTTCCTGCAGCTCTGCAACCAGAATCGGACCGCCAGCACCAGCAGGACAAGGACCGCAATCAGGAGAACGCAGAGGAAGACCAGAGGCAGCAGCAGCTTCCACAGCAACCTGAAACCAAAGTACACAGGAACTTGAGGAAGGGGTCAACGACATGCTTCAGCAGGTTTACACTGCAGCTAAACTTTGGATGATTTTTTTTTTTTTTTTTTTGTATTTTCACCAAATAATTAAATCTGTTCTGAACGCTTCTGTTTACATGACTGGGACGAGGATGGATGAGCTTTGGCTTGAAAGGAATAAAGTAGTGAAATAAAAGACCCACATTTCCTTTTATATTAATATATTTTAAAACCTAAAACTGACTCTAGAGTCAGAATACTGATTGATAACTTTAAGCTACAAACACAAAAACGACACATTTGTTTTAAACTAGAAGGTGAATTAGCTTGTTAAAATCATCATTTCCCTGGGTTTATCGGTTATTTGTTGCTAGCAGTAGCCCAACTGCAGCGAAGCTACGTTTTACATTTAACAATCAGGTAAAAACGCATTTATTTAACCATCTAGTTTGCTTTAATAAACATCTTACCGCGTTAATTCGCACAAACACAGGACCAGCTGATCATGGGCCGACATCTTCACAACACGAAACACGTGACGTAACGTCCGTCCTCATCAACAGATTCCCATCAGTCGCGCGCCCCTAGCGGTCAGGAGGTGTACTGCATCAACGGCTCAACGCAGTCAATGACCAAAACTTCACATATAAAAAATCTCTGATTCATAAAAAATCTTGAAATTGTACATTAAAATGAAACTGTAGAAAAACTAGTATCATAAAGTCATTAAAATGCTTTACATCTATTGATCTATGCCCCGTTTTGCAACAAGTAAAAGTCTACCTGCTAAATAAACAGTTTCAATCAATAACATGTTCCTGACCCCCACAGATTGAACACACTTCTGACATTTTCAGTCTGGATCCTGACATCATGGCGACTGTTCTGATTCTGTTGGTTTTAATGAATTTGGACCTGCTAATGAAGATGGGCCTCTGCTCAGAAACACGGTAAATACCTTCAAAACAAGAGGAGTGATCCTTAGGAATGTTTACACACTTGTGTAAGCACGTGAAGTCCCTTTGTTCTTGCACTAATTTTCCAAAATATTTGCTCAACGCCTCTGCCACGTTTTGCAGGGACCAGGTTTTATTAATCATCCCGGACACTCAAGAACATGTGGACATTTTGAAGAACATCTCGACCCAATACGAGGTATTTTTTTTTACCAGCAGTTACAGTCATTTCACCACGCCTGTACACACATTTATGCATTCATCTTTTGTTCAACCATAACAGCCTTTTTGTTCCTCTCAGACAGCCTTATGGCAGCCGGCTTCACCTCACCACATCCAAGAAGAAACCCAAGTCCATCTTTACGTTCCTGCAAACAGCTCTGAGTCGGTCAAGACCCTGCTTCAGACGCACACCATAACCCACGAGTAAGCTGCGCCCAAAAACACAACTGCCCATGCCTCGACTAATTCCCGACGACTGCTGTTTTGCTCTTAAATTTTTAACTGCAGGGTTTTGTTGGCCAATGCCAATGAGCTGATTGAAATGCAGATGAGGAATGACTCCACCGACCCAAGAAGCAGCTCCACGTTCTACCAGAAGTATCACCGTCTGGAGGATGTGAGACTCTGTGTGTGTATTCATTTGAATGCAGTTTCTTTTTTTCCAGATCATGACACAATTTCTTGTAGATCTATGAGTGGATAAACAGGACCACACATGACAACCCCAGCACAGTTAAAGCCATTCTCATTGGCTCTTCCTTTGAGAAGCAACCGCTGTTGGCTCTGAAGGTAAGCATTCACTTATCACTTTAAAAAAGCAGCAATGACAATATTCCTTATTGGCGCCATTTTGGACCTCTTTTCTCCAGCTGTCCATGAATGACAGACCAGACAAGAAAGCTATGTGGATGGATTGTGGGATCCACGCCAGAGAGTGGATCTCGCCTGCTTTCTGTTTGTCGTTCGTCCAACACGTGAGTACATCTCTCTCATCTGAAATCCGCATGGAAATCTTAAATCCACTCACATTCCTGTGGTTTCCTTCCGCAGTCGTTGTCGTTTTACAAGCAAAACCAAGAGATCACACACATTCTGGACAACATGGACATCTACGTCCTGCCTGTCATGAACCCTGATGGGTACAAACACACCTGGACAGAGGTAAGACAACGCACATAGTTTGTTGAATTTACAAGCTCTTTGATCTGAATGCTGATGCAAACCTTGAATTTGTTTTATGGCAAATCTGCAGAACAAGCTAGGCTTTGAACATGAACAAGATCAAAGAACACTCACCCCTCCCCTTGGGAATCTTCCCTAATGGGCCATTCCCATCTGTACCGGGTCGGCCCGGGCCGGGTAGCGTAGGTTGTTTAACATATCTGGGTGGCCTGGTATTTTTCCGGGCCAACCAAGGCTCATTCTCAGCCCTTTTCTCGAGGGGGTCTGCTTCAGGCCGACCAGGGCCAACACACCCACTGCTGACAGCAAATTCACACCTTCCATTAGAGCAAGCCTCTGATTGGTGGGTAGAATCAGCCCACATGGGCTTAAGGCAAGGATGTGTGGAATCAACCGGGCCAGGCTGGGGCCGACTGGGGCTACCCGGCCCGGGCCGACCCGGTACAGATGGGAATGGCCCATAATAAGACACTTACCTTCTCAGTGGCCTAGTGGTAGAATGTACACCCTCAGCCTGGGAGATCGGGATTCAAATCCGGTCGGGTAATACCAAAGACATAAAAAACGGGACCCAATGCCTCCAATGGGTTGGATTGAGAGGTTAAACCACCAAATTGTTCCCGAGCGTAGCCACTGCTGCAGCTCACCGCTCCCCACTGGAATGGGTCGAATGCGGAAATATAATTTCACCAGTGGTGAATGATGAATGGGACTTTTTTACAAATCAAGGAGCTTCTGAGTTTTATGTCCAATAAGTGTACTCGTGGTTTTAGAGGTTGTAGCTGTTTTCAGCTTGAATGGTGACAGTGATTTTCATCATTTTGTCTCAGAACAGGATGTGGAGGAAGAATCGCTCCCACACGAAGAACACTAACTGCATCGGAGTCGACCTGAACAGAAACTTTGATGCCAACTGGTGCAGTAAGTTTCCCCTTCGAGGTGTAAATCATAATTAACCATTAGTAAGCTTTTCTTTGATTGGTTGATTTGTTCTGTTTCTTTAACTCCAGAGGAAATAAGAGTAACCAGTGTAATCCTAAAAGTGTTTCTGTTCTGTTCTGCTCAGTGGAGGGAGCTTCTCGTGACCCCTGCTCTGAGACCTACTGTGGTCGGTTCCCTGAGTCTGAGCCCGAGTCGAAGGCTGTGGCTGACTTTCTGCGTCTTCACAAGGACTCGATTCACCTCTACATCAGCATCCACTCCTACTCCCAGATGCTGCTTTTCCCATATTCCTACACCCTGGAAGAAGCACCGAATCACAGTGATCTGGTAGTTTGGTCAAAAATTATGTTAAGTTTCAGTGTTGATTCTGACCTCTTAAACTGTTGTTTCATTGCTTTTTTTTTTAAAGCTTGAGATGGCCAAAGGAGCTGCAGACAACATCAAAAGATATCACAGAAACCACTACGTGTATGGTGCTGGAGCAAAGACCATATGTAAGAAAAGCCTTGGTCCTTCAAAGGGATTCAGAGATGCTCACAAGTATTTTAGTCGCCGGTTAAAATCTAGGGCATCCCACTGAAAATAAATATGGCGTAGATGCCATTTCCTGCATGTTGGTGCATTTACACAGGGCGTTAAACACCTATTTTACTGCCACCTTACCGTGGTGGAGGGGTTTGAGTGTCCCAGTGATCCTAGGAGCTAAGTTGCCTGAGGCTTTCTGCCTCTGGTAGGGTCACCCATGGCAAACAGGTCCTAGGTGAGGGATCAGACAAAGAGCAGCCCAAAGACCTCTTATGATGAATTATATAAATGGAAACCGTGTTCCCTCACCTGGAGGTGGGTCACCGGGGCCCCCCTCTGGAGTCAGGCCTAGAGGTGGGGCATGTTGGCGAGCGCCTGGTGGCCGGGCTTTCACCCATGGAGCCCGGCCGGGCACAGCCCGAAGAGGAAATGTGGGTCCCCCTTCCCATGGGCTCACCACTCGTGGGACGGGCCAAAGGGGTCGGGTGCAGTGTGTGTGACGGGTGGTAGTCGATGGCGGTCTGATCTTCGGCTACAGAAGCTGGCTCTTGGCACATGGAATGTCACCTCTCTGGTGGGGAAGGAGCCTGAGTTGGTGTGTGAGGTTGAGAGGTTCCGACTAGATGTAGTCAGACTCACCTCAACACATGGCTCTGGTTCTGGAACCAGTTTCCTTGAGAGGAGTTGGACTTTCTACCACTCTGGAGTTGCTCTCACTGAGAGGCGCCGAGCAGGGGTGGGCATTTAAGTTGCCCCCCATCTTGGTGCCTGTACTTTGGGATTTACCCCAGTGAATGAGAGGGTAGCCTCCCTCCGCCTACATGTGGGGGGACGGGTTCTGACTGTGGTTTGTGCTTCTGCACCAAACTACTGTTCAGACGTCTGTTTTGGTGGTTCGTGTGTTGACACATAACCTCTACCAACCACATTACAGCCATGTGACCCAGCTTTTAGAGGGTCAAAGGGCACGTCCAAGTCAAACTTAAGTGCTTGAGGGGCAGTTCCAACTCAAGTCAAAAGTCTGGTGTGATGATTTAAGTCCAAGTTCACATCAAGCCTCACGTCTTTAGAGTGTGTCCAAGTCTAGTGTCAAATCTTTACAGTGCAAGTCTGAGTCAAGTCAGAAATCTGTAGAATACAAGTCCAAGTCAAGTGTCAAATGTTTAGAGTGCAAGTCCAAGTCACGTGTCAAATGTTTAGAGTGCAAGTCCAAGTCACGTGTCAAATGTTTAGAGTACACGTCCAAGTCAAGTGTCAAATGTTTAGAGTGCAAGTCCAAGTCAACTGTCAAATCTTTTGAGTCCAAGTCCAAGTCAAGTGTCAAATGTTTAGAGTGCAAGTGTAAGTCAAGTGTCAAATCTTTTGAGTCCAAGTCCAAGTCAAGTGTCAAATGTTTAGAGTGCAAGTCCAAGTCAAGTGTCAAATCTTTTGAGTCCAAGTCCAAGTCAAGTGTCAAATGTTTAGAGTGCAAGTGTAAGTCAAGTGTCAAATGTTTAGAGTACACGTCCAAGTCAAGTGTCAAATGTTTAGAGTACACGTCCAAGTCAAGTGTCAAATGTTTAGAGTGCAAGTGTAAGTCAAGTGTCAAATGTTTAGAGTGCAAGTCCAAGTCAAGTGTCAAATGTTTAGAGTGCAAGTGTAAGTCAAGTGTCAAATGTTTAGAGTGCAAGTGTAAGTCAAGTGTCAAATGTTTAGAGTGCAAGTGTAAGTCAAGTGTCAAATGTTTAGAGTGCAAGTCCAAGTCAAGTGTCAAATGTTTAGAGTGCAAGTGTAAGTCAACTGTCAAATCTTTTGAGTCCAAGTCCAAGTCAAGTGTCAAATGTTTAGAGTGCAAGTGTAAGTCAAGTGTCAAATGTTTAGAGTGCAAGTCCAAGTCAAGTGTCAAATGTTTAGAGTGCAAGTGTAAGTCAAGTGTCAAATGTTTAGAGTGCAAGTCCAAGTCAAGTGTCAAATGTTTAGAGTGCAAGTGTAAGTCAAGTGTCAAATGTTTAGAGTGCAAGTCCAAGTCAAGTGTCAAATGTTTAGAGTGCAAGTCCAAGTCAACTGTCAAATCTTTTGAGTCCAAGTCCAAGTCAAGTGTCAAATGTTTAGAGTGCAAGTGTAAGTCAAGTGTCAAATCTTTTGAGTCCAAGTCCAAGTCAAGTGTCAAATGTTTAGAGTGCAAGTCCAAGTCAAGTGTCAAATCTTTTGAGTCCAAGTCCAAGTCAAGTGTCAAATGTTTAGAGTGCAAGTGTAAGTCAAGTGTCAAATGTTTAGAGTACACGTCCAAGTCAAGTGTCAAATGTTTAGAGTACACGTCCAAGTCAAGTGTCAAATGTTTAGAGTGCAAGTGTAAGTCAAGTGTCAAATGTTTAGAGTGCAAGTCCAAGTCAAGTGTCAAATGTTTAGAGTGCAAGTGTAAGTCAAGTGTCAAATGTTTAGAGTGCAAGTGTAAGTCAAGTGTCAAATGTTTAGAGTGCAAGTGTAAGTCAAGTGTCAAATGTTTAGAGTGCAAGTCCAAGTCAAGTGTCAAATGTTTAGAGTGCAAGTCCAAGTCAAGTGTCAAATGTTTAGAGTACACGTCCAAGTCAAGTGTCAAATGTTTAGAGTACACGTCCAAGTCAAGTGTCAAATGTTTAGAGTACACGTCCAAGTCAAGTGTCAAATGTTTAGAGTGCAAGTCCAAGTCAAGTGTCAAATCTTTTGAGTCCAAGTCCAAGTCAAGTGTCAAATGTTTAGAGTGCAAGTCCAAGTCAAGTGTCAAATGTTTAGAGTGCAAGTCCAAGTCAGGTCCTAAGTCTTTGGAGGGAATCTTAAGTGTGTTTCAAGTTCAAGACTCAGATCAAGTGAAATAATTGGGACATAAATAACTGTGACTTGTTATGGTTTTCCTCCAGATTTGGCTCCAGGTGGTTCTGACGACTGGGCATACAACCTCGGTATCAAATACTCTTTCACGTTTGAGCTCCAGGACCGCGGTCGCTACGGCTTCTTGTTGCCTCCATCTCATATCCACAGCGCCTGCAGTGAGGCTCTAACGGCGGTGAAAACTGTCGCTCTGATGGTCATCAATAAAGCACAAGCTGAAAGGAGTTCCCCTCAAACTGACTGAGAGTTCAACCTTCCCAGGAGATGTCTAAATAAGGCTTTGATTCATCAGATCACAAAAAACGATGTTTTAGAAGTTATTAAAGATATTTTTACATGAAGAGGTCAATTTTCAGGTATACTTTATCCACTATGAATATAAATATGGGTTAAAATAAATCAGCATTATTATTAATCAGTTCATGTCATTAAAAACAACTGGACAAAATGTGAAATTGACTAAAACAAAGTGAGAGTATCTTATTCCCAAAAAACTATTAATCATGCAGTAAAAGCTGTCAAATATCGAAAGTGTTCACTCTGAATAAAAACCTGAAATATTGTCGTGATTTAGTTTTTTGCTGCAATCCTGATAGCAAAATGAACATTTGATAACAATTTAGCTAAGTGATGCGGAAGCATTTAAAGCTGGTGTTTTTACTAAAATTAAAAAACTATATAAGTAGCCAGATTCAGGAGACAAAGCTTAAATAAAATGCTGATTTATTTTCAACAATTTGGTAAAACAATCTTTTATGTAGCGCCTCTCAAGATAAAAATCACGGTGCTTCACAAAAACAAAATATTTAATTATAAAAAATAATTTAAAAATGTATTAAAAATATGTTTGAAATTACAAAAAAAATTGTGATTAAAAATGTAAGGAAAGGGAGAGAAAGAATTATTAGGAAAGAGGAAAATCAGTGGATCGTGGGAAATAAGAGCAGAATAAGGAGAGGGTGGTGATGAAGGTCACACCAAAGCCTGAACAGAAGAGTTTTCAGCTGCTTTTTAAAGAGCAAGTAACGCCTAAATTAACTTTTTTTTTTTTGCTGATAACCTGTATAGACGAGTGTCTAATGGTGCTGTACACTCATGTAATCATTAGTGTGACAGTTTAGTGCAACTTACTTTAAATTTAATATTTCAGCCCAAAACCATATTTATATCAACATCTTCAGGTTAAAACTCTGCTCCATGTTTAGGTAGAACCAGCTGTGGCTGATGGCTAAGCTGAAAAATGTGACGTTGTCAGCAAATTACTACGTGGCTGCACCGCACTGGTCTCCATGTGAGGCAGCCGCACCTCCACCTGGCTCCGCCACTCACCTGCCAATATGACGCGCTGGCTCTCTGAGCCGCTCACCTCCTTGAAAAAAATGCCCTCCTCCCCTTAATGATAACAGGAAATCCTCCAGAATGCTGCAGAATCTGTGTCTGCTCTTCTCCTGAGTGGTAAGTCTTGTGTGAGCGAGTGCTTGTGTGCAGTGATGCGGTCTATCACCGCCTCAGTGCTGCTCTCTCGGTCCGCCAAGTGTGGATGAAATACGTCTCTACCCAGGCATTGACCCTCACTTTAAAGGAGACCATTGAGTCCACTGATCTCAGGCTCAGGGGGAGAGAGGTCCAGAATCTGGGGGCCACAGCAGCAGATGATCTGTCACCTTTGGTCTTTAGCCCGGTGCTGCACAACCAGTAGGCTTTGGTCACTGGACCTCAGGGAGCTGTCGGGAGTGTAAAGACTGAGAAGATCATCAATGTATGATGGTGCTTGTCCATGTATGGCCCTAAAGACCAGAACCAGGATCTTGAAATACCTTCACCTATGGTCACAAGCTTTGGGTAGTGACGAAAGAATGGATACAAGCGGCTGAAATGAGTTGTCTCCACCGGGTGGCTGGGCTCTCCCTTAGACAGATTGAGAAGCTCGGTCATCCGGGAGGGGTTCGGAGTAGATCCGCTGCTCCTCCACGTCGAGAGGAGACAGTTGAGGTGGGTCGGGCATCTGGTCAGGATGCCTACTAGGTGCCTCCCTGGTGAGGTTTTCTGGGAATGTCCAACTGGGACAAGGTCCAAGGGAAGACCCAGGACAAGCTAGGGACCATGTCTCTCGGCTGGCCAGGGAACACCTTGGGATTTCCGCAGAGGAGCTGGCTCAGGTTGCTGGGGAGTGGGAAGTCTGGGCCTCTCGGCTTAGGCTACTGCACCCGTGACCCGACTCTGGATAAGCAGCTGAAAATGGATGGATGGATGGCCAAAAGAGCCCAAACATGCTCACTTATTTGATGCAAAAGAAAATGCCGCACATTTAGTTTGAAATAATATAATAAAATAAAAAAAATGCGAAAGACTTATTCTATTCTCTTGACAACCCTGGGGACAAAATGAGACCTTGGGTCATTCATTTCTACTGAGAAAGGTGCTTACCCAAATCAAAATCACATTTTATTAAACTTTTTCACTACATTAGACACATTGTGTGCCATGATACAAAAATATAAATATAATTAAACAAAATAAATTACAATGTAAAATTCCATCATGTAGGCTAGTGTAACGTCCACAATTGGTCAGTTTTTCATGTAACCTCACAACGTGTAAACCTCTTCAGTATCTGGTCATATGGAGACAGGAGTCTACATTTGTTGCCTTTAATCTTCCGGATCCTGACATTCCATCAGCTGGAGTCCGGGCCTCTCTGCAGCTCTGAACACATGATAACAGATTATCAACATCATGTTCCCTTCTCAAGGTCCTGCTTATCTCGGCTGTCCTGCTCAAAATAAAGGACTGAACCATTATAACAGAAATAATCATATGGTTGAATGAACAAATGTTATATGAATACCAAATGAAATGTTTTGATTAATCTGTGCTTGAATTATTGAAGTTTGAAATGAATGTTATTATTACATTGAAAGATTTATATATATGATGATCAGTAATGTCTGATATGACAATTGAATCATTATCTACACTTAGACACAAGGTTCATTAGAGATAAATTAAATTAAAGTTAAACGTCATGACACAGATATTTTCTTAACCACAAGTTAGAGCATCCTGTATCTGAAAGAGGCGTGACGTTCTGAGGTTTGCTTGTGAACATCCCTTAACATGACACGTACCGGTTGGCCAAGAAATCATAATATGAGAATATTAAAACAGAGCTCACTAGACGGTGAGTCAGTTCTAGAGAAAGCTACGGACAGGCCTACCGGAGCAAACCTTCTTTAACCCAGAGCATTTTTGACAAGCTGTCAAAAACCCTGCTACATGCTGAAGTTGACACAGAACAAAGCTATACAGTTCCGACTCCCTAAGAGTCCTTCTAGACGCAAACAATTTCATCTACCTGTTGTGATCCGGGAGACGACTCTGGACTGACTTGGTCGTAATGCGGTCTTTTCTACGAACTTCGGTACCTTGGGGTCACCCGACCCCCAACCCCCCAACATCTCGGATCCGAAAGGGAGTCTTCTCAGGGGTATGTAGAACACAACATGATTGCATCTGATGCCGTTTTGATAAGAACCAATTTCATAGCTTAATGCAAACCAAATTCCTTTGCACACCCAGAACTCAGTTCTTCTCAATACAAGGTTCTGATAAACACACGCCATTAAATCACCAGACATCACTCATCCATCACTGTAGCCTTGTCATGTTTTTATTTGTTTAGAAAATAAATTTCTTATCTTTTATAAACCTGACTCTGTCTGAATTGAGATGAAGTTTGTTGATCCCTGGAAAAAGCAAAGAATCTTAGAATCTTCTGAATAAACACTCAAAGACCAAGCAGGTTGATATTCTATGTTTATATAGAATATCACAATTTATTGGTCATAAGTAAAGGTAATGTATTAAGCTTAAAAGCAACAGTATTTACCCCTCTACACTAGAAAAGTCAACAGTAATCACACGAGATCTGGTTTCAATAGTAAACCGGTTGTTGCAAAGGTAGGCTGCACAAAACGAGCACATTTGCCCACTCTGCATTGGCTTTGGACAGTGAGGAGACCCATCCAATATGGCGACGACGCTGTTACGCTCTCCAGCACCGAATGGGGCGTCAACGTCTTTACTGCTGGCGGTGATCGTACCACAGAAGAAGAACGCGACGTAATGCGTCTGAGGCGCACTGTATGTACGCCAACATGAAGTCACTCCGGGCAGTTTCTGCCTTAGATTTCAAAGAATAGGACTTGTTGTTTCGACAAAGTCTTGCTTTGCTAACTAATACAAAGTAGATGAAACACCGAAACCAAATATTGGGTGAGGAGCTGTATTCCGTTTGATCTTACATTAGCTTAAACCGCGCTCGTGGTGGCTTAAAGGCCTGAAGCTACTGTTAGCATTAGCTTCGATATACGTGGATTTTCCTGTTTGAGGTGTGCAAATGAATGGCCCGGCCACGCATTTAAAGCTCTAACACAACACTGTGCAGAAATATTATCGCGTAGTTTGCTGGGAGCAGTGGCTAATCTGAAGCTAATGTGCAGCCGTAGAAGTCTAAACTCAGATAATTCTAGCACAATTTTTAGAAACGTTTGCACAATGTAGGGGAATAAAAAAAACTTTGATATTTTTCTTTATTTTTATGGAAAGAAAAACATTGAAACAGTTTATTTTTGCTGACAAATGTTAATTTTCTGAAATTTTCAACATTATCAAAATTTCTTCCACTGACACATTAAATCCCTTTTCACTTTGTGTTGCTATTTTATTATATTTCATGTTTTTGTTGTTGCACAGTATTGTTCATCTCACGGTGCGTAATTAAAACGCTGTGATTCACAGTTCAAATAAAAAATATTATTTTTTTGTAAAACTGTTGATTTTTTATGTAGTTTTAGATTCTTTGGACCCTTCTGATTAACAGTATTACCATGTTTCCAGTCCTGCAGAATGTCCAAGATCAGGCGGAAAGTAACAGTTGAGAATTCAAAAACGATATCTGACAGCAGCAGCACCACAACCAGCAGCACCAGCAACACCAGCGCCCCGTCTCGCCGGCCCAGTGTCTTTGAACGCCTTGGTCCTAGCACTGGGAGTAATGCTGCAGATGTATGTGTCGCAGAACCGTTCCAGGACTGGAGGTTTTCTTTTTGAGTGGATTTGTCTTCATGTCTTTTATCTTAATTTGTGTTTTAGAGTCACTGTAGAAATTGGCTGAAGACCGGTAGCTGCAGTTACGGCAACACTTGTCGTTACACACATGGAACTCAGCCTCGAGGCAAAGGATTCAGCTTTAATCGGTGAGGAGACCTGGACTTGCTGCTGTGCATGTTGTTCCAATTTAGTTTTTTGATTCCTCAAAACAATGAAACCAATCGCAACGCAGGTCAGCTGAGAGACCCACTGGTGATCTGCGGGAGAGGATGAAAAATAAACGACAGGATGTTGACCCGGAAAACTTGAAGCGAGACGTAGACAAGCCCACAACCTCCAAAGTCAGAGTGAGTTATTTTTGTTTTCTATAGTGTTTTAATCCTTATTGTCTGAAAGGAGAAGAGTAAAAACAAGGCTGAGTCCTTTTGTAGCAGAGAGACTCTTCAAGAGGGCGACACAGAGAGAAGGAAGGCATAAAGATCACGAAGGAGAGGACCCCAGCCAGTGAAGAAGAGCCTGTCGAGTGGGAAACTAATCGAGAAGGTTGGATAGTTTAATCGACAAATAATACGATTCATGCTAGTTGTCATTATTTTGTTAAAAAGATCAGCGCGCCATGATAATAAGTACTACAAACCTTACTTTGTTGACTCAGATTCTGATATTGGGGAATTTGATTACGAGTTATCCCTGGAGATGAAGCGCCAGAAGATCCAACGGGAACTCATGAAACTGGAGCAGGAAAATTTGGACAAACGAGATGATGTCGTTAAGAAAGAGGAGGCTCCTATAAAATCCAGGAGTGCAGCGCTGCCAAAGGTGAGGATTAATATTCACGAGATCTGAAATCCCCAGATTCCCTCAGCGTTGAGCTTTTGTCCTGCCGTCCCTGTTGGTCAGGTGTCGCCTGAGCTGTTGGGTTCCAAAGATTCGCCGTCGTCCAGGAAGTCCGGCGGCTCCCCGAAATACAAAAGTATAAGTAAAGGCTCCGGTTCTGGGAAGAAAGAGAAGAAGGCAGCCATGGCCTTGGCGGTGTCAGAAACCCTCCGGTAAGAAGGCGTAAAAAAAGCGTCTTGAGTCGCGGGACGGAGCCCAGAAAAAAAATCACTCCCTTTTTCTTTTAGGTCTTCAAAAGGAAGCCACAGTAAGAAGAAGGGGCCTCGTACGCCGAGTCCTCCTCCCCCGGTCCCTCTCGGCATTCCTGTCGTTGGGAAAAAACACAAAGGGAAACATAAAAACAAGGAGAAGACCGAGGAGAAGCAGAAGGAAGGGAAAGAGCGGGGACGGGACACGGAGAAGCATAAAGAAAAGAAGGAAAAACGCCGGTATGACGGGAACGTCGTCTCCTGCAGCTGTTTTTATCCCACCGTTTCACAAACTCACTTGTTGCTGTTCTCCTTTGTTGTTTATGTAGGCAGATAATCAGGTGAGTGGCTACGAAAGGTTCTGTTTCAACCCGCAGATGCTGGACTAACTTTGCTGCATGGCATTTATCTCACTCGGCTTTTTATTCGCGTCAGAACCCAAAGGTTTGCTTCGGACGGGTTTAAATCCACGTTTTAACGAAATCAGCCGCTGAGCTTTTCTAGAGCAGCTCAGAGGATGCTTCCTGATCGTACCTGGTTTATTTTTTAATGCTTGTGCCTCTGATTAGTAGTATCCACCTCTCATTCAGCCGTTAATCTGAAGCGGTTTGGTGTTAAAGTGATCGATCCGACAGTTCCCATAAGGCCAAGCGGGCGGTGACATCGGAGGAGCGCTCTGGAAGTGCGTCGTCTCCCTCCAGGTGTGCGTCACCTCCAGCGAGGAAGAAGTCCGTCTCTCCCAAAGTTTCATCTCACAAGGCCTCGTTGCTCCCCTCCCCCCCTCAAAGGTCTGAACTTCCTGGTTTTCCGACACGGATAACGCCAAACGGCTTTGTGAATAATGATGTTCTGTTTCTGCAGGTCTCCTTCCCCTCCACACCACCACCGCAGTCGCACTCCTCCTCGCCGCCACTCCCAACACTCCCCGTCCTCCCATTCCGGTTCCTCCAACAACCGCCACTCCCCGTCGCCTCGCCGCCGCCGTTCTTCCTCTCCCACCTCCTACCGGAGTTCCACAGCTCAAGCTTCTGCCTCGTCGCCACCGCGCTCCCGGCGCTCTCGGTCGCCCCCGGCCTCTCACGAAACTTCCTCACCTCCTCGACGTCCTGAGCGTTCGAGTCCCAGCCGGCGCCGCTCCAGGGGCAGAGAGAAGAGTCGTGGGGAGAGAGATAGGAGTCCACCCGCCCAGGAGCGCAGACATGACAACAGAGAGGGTATTTTTGGGTGTCTGCCATGTTGTCGGGATTAGTTTATAGGATTCTGAAAGTGTGTGTCCCTCTTGTGAGCAGAAAGCCGGAGCAAGCGGGAGAAGGACAGTGTCCGTGACGACCAAGACTACGAGTCCGAAGTCCTCTCGTCCCGGGACGCCCGAGACGACCGGGAGACCAGAGAGGCCCGCGAACGACGGGACGCTCGTGACCGAGGAAGAGAAACAACCCGGGATAGTCGGGACAACAGGGATGTGAAGGACATGAGAGAGACCAGGATAGAGACGCGCTCCAGTCGAGAGTCCCTGGAACACCGAGAGCGTGAGAAAGAGCGGGGGAGGGAAAAGGAGAGGGAGAGAAGTGATGCCTACAGGAAGGAGGATCCTCCTCAGGATGACAGGGTATATGGACGAGGTCATGGACGTGATGATGTGAGGACCGAGGGCCGGACGGACAGAGGTGATAGGAATGGACGAGGAAGAGGACGTGCTAATGAGCCGTCTGATAAAGGTGAGACAAAAAAAAGTTTTAATGTGGAAAATCGAGCTTCACGGTGCGTTGTTCTTCCCTCAGGATCAAACAGGAACTCCCGAAGCTCCCAGCTGGACAGCAGCTACGATAACTGGGAGTCACGAAGCGGTGCGGTGCGCGATCGCAGCGTGGAGCGGAGCACGGATCGCAGCGCCGCTGAACGGAGCTCTGAGAGGACCTCGGACCGAGATCGCTACGAGAGTGAGAGAAGAGATCAGCACACAAGAGACTCCTCCTACGACCGGAGGGCAGGTCACGGGGAGCGGGATCGCAGAGATAACCGGGACAGAGGTTAGCACCGGAGCCGAGTGGAATGCTGCTTCAGGATCAGAAAAATGCAAAAAGGTGTTGAACTTTATTCTTGTCTCTCCTTTCTCGTCAGAACAAAGAGCAGCCTCTCCTAACAGATACCAGAGGAGGTCCGAGGAGTCTGAAAGGGAGGAGAGGCGTGAGGAGAGGAGGTCGGACCGAACAGAGGACAGGCGGGAGGACAGGGCCCGAGACCGGGAGCGAGAAAGAGAGAGGGAAAGGGAAAGAGAGCGGGAACGAGAGAAGGAAAAGGAGCGAGAGAGGGAGCGAGAAAAGGAGAGGGAGGCGGAGAGGGAGAGGGCCAGGGAGCGGGAACGAGAGAGGGAACGTGAGAGGGAGGAGCGGGAGAGAGAACGGGAGAGGGAGGAGCGAGAGCGGGAAAGGGAGAGGGAGAGAGAAAGGAAGGAAAGAGAAAGAGAGAGGGAACAGAGGGAGAGGGAGAGGCAGCGGGAATGGGAGGAGAGAGAAAGGGAGAGACGGGAGAGGAGGGAAGACACCAGAGACGAGAGGTCTGTTCGGGACAAGATGAGGTACGTCAACGATCCGTCCTGAACATTTATTCTTGTCTTTCACCCGTTCACCTGTGAGCTCCTTCCTTACCTTCTGTTGTGTTTGTGGTTGCCACGGTAACCCTGGTGAGCCACCGCGGGTGGTGTTAGCATTTCTTTTGACACAGTTCACACGTCAGAATGTGAACGTGTTTCGATCTCGCTTCACCGTTCCGGTTCGGTCCGACGTCACCGCAAATACTTCAGAGGCTCGGACGATTCCGAAACGAGACGAAACGCTGGAGCCGATTCAGCAGCAGCTTGTGTGATTCCCGTAGACCAACCCCGTTTTAAAACTCTTTTTTTTTTTTCTTGTGCTTCAGCCGTAAGAGGTTCAGGGTGGAGAGCAGCCCGAGTCCGAGACCATCTCCCAAGCGAGCAGCGCGGGACTTCAGCCCGGCGGACAGCGACGGCTACAATAGCGCCGAGGACAAAAGTGAGCGTCCGACGGGCCGAGGGCTTGCCAAGCTCCACCCACAACCCCTCCTCCCCAGCCCCGTGTGTCAACCTCCGTCCGACAGTAGGAAACACTTGTTTTAATGAGGATGCGTGTTGTTATTGTTATTAGTAAACAAGCTTTGACTCGTTTCACCTGCATGTTAGCTTGCTATGATGCTATCGCTAACACAAATGGCTACATCAGAATGCTCTAAGATGTTTCCACGACTGTTGGCGTGCAGGTGGGGACAAACATCGTCTGCTGAGCCAAGTGGTGAGGCCCCGTGATTCCTCATCCAGGTCGCCACCCAGAAATGCTGCATCTACTGAAAAGTCGTCTCACTGGAAGGACGAGGAGCGCCGAGGAGCCGGGGACAAGCGGGAATCCCGCAGTCGCCATGAAGACCCGGAGGCTCGTCCAGATCGAGGCAGAGGAGACAGACGTGGAGAGTACCTCACTGATGTTCCCTCGGACAGTCGCAGCAGAGGCAGAGACCAGCGAGAGTCGACTCCGCCCCCTCCACCTGCCGCTCTCGCCACCATCAGTGAAGACCGAGACACTGCTGCGTCCCAGTCTCACGAGGAGGGCAAAAAGAAGACCAAGTCCCTGAAGAAGGGCTTGAAAAAGGTCCGCAAAGAGGAGGAGGTTGTCGGTGGTGGCGGTCTGACTTTAGCGGCGGACCGTTTCAACCCCGAGCCTCCAGCTGCCGCTCCTGTAGAGGCGGCGCTGCCGCTGCCATTACATTCACCAAGGAAGGTACCCAAGAAGAAGGCACACGACCGCAAGAGGAAGCGGTCGCGAGGAGGCGAGTCGGACGCTTCTGAGGAGGAGGCACTGGCCCATCAGCCTCACAGTAAGAGGAAGAGAGGTCCTCGGACACCACCGCCCTCCATGAGGCCCGGGCACCACGCAGCTGCAGGGAATGCCGAGTCTTCCTCCCACAGGAACAACTTCAGTGACTGGACAGATGATGATGATGATGCTACAGAGAAAGGAGGCCAGGTGGAAACACCAGCTCCTCTGGCTCCCGCTGAGAGGATCCAGACTGAGCCGCTCAGGAGAGGCGGGGGCCACCGAATGGGCCGGGAAAGGGAGCGGTGTAATCCGCCACCCATTGCTCCTCTGCTTTCCCAAGATCCTCCAATCCTGCTTCAGACCCTGACACCACAGCCGCTCATGTCCCAGCCTCTTCTCCGCAAACCCCCCTCAGAGCAGCCGCGCAGCAGCAGCATGGGGAGCAACCAGAGCCGGGCCTCGACACGGCGCCTGAGGTCACCTTCCGACGAGCCGGTCCACCAGGAGAATTCCCAGGGGCCGCGGTCCCGGCGAGGCAGGATGCAGGGATCTGGCTCTCGTGATCGGGACAGGGAAAGGGAGCGAGAGAGGCCGGTGGTGAGCGATCCTCCGGGAGCTGAGAGGAAGTCGCGGATTGACCAGCTGAGGAGAGGAGAGCCCAGCCGCAGCACCTCATCAGGTACTGGAGAGTTCTGATCCGGTTCTGGTTATTATTCAAACAAAACCAAAGCTGGAAACTAAAATCTTGTTTTTCAGATCGGCAAGATTCCCGGAGCCACAGCTCCAGGCGCAGCTCTCCTGATTCGGAGCGGCAGGCTAGGTCCCGATCCCGCGCCGGCTCCTACGACAGCCGGGACCGGGAGCGAGACAGGGAGCCCTTTGAGCGAGATCGTAAGGAGCTCCGCCCACTGCAGCAGCAACAACAGCAGCAGCCTCTGCACCTCCAGCAGCCCCTTCAGCAGCAACGGGACTGGGAGCCAGAACCTCGAGACTGGCCGGGCCGAGGGCGAGAGCCTCTGCTTATGCGTCCTGCACGGGAGCCTCTCCTAAGGGACCTCAGGGATCGGGAGCGCCTGCTTCCTGAAGGACTCATCCAACAGCACGAATGGGAGAGAGAACGGGAGAGGGAGCGGGAGAGAGATGGTCGAGCTGAACGAGGCGGAGACCGGGAACGGGAGAGGATGATGATGGATCTGCCTCCGCATGGCGACCTGAGAGCTCCGGGACGAGGAGACGTGAGAGGAGAGATTGCGAGGCCAGAAAGGAGCGAATACGAGCCCCTACTGCCCAGAGAAGCCTTCAGCCCTCCAGAAGCCGAGAAATCTAGCAACAGCCACCATGTAGGTGGAGATCATCAGGAGGTGGAGAAGACGGAGAATTTTGATGGTAAGAGGATGGAATTTACTTTGAGGTTCTTCGTGTTGATTTTCCTACTTGGATTCCAATGGAATGTGTTTTTTGTCCAGGGGATGATGATGGGAAAGAGGACGAGCGGTCGGTTGCGTCTGTTGGGGAGGAGTACGAGCCGATCAGCGATGATGAGCTGGATGAAATCCTTGCCGATAGCCAGAAAAAGGAGGATCAGCCAGAGGAGGAGAAGATTACAGGTTTGTTTCTCCTGAAACCGAAACTAGTTTATCACGCGCGACGTTAGATGTGAACTCCGGTTCCACGTGTGGACAGGTCCGCTGGACGTGATTGATGTTGACTGGTCCAGCCTGATGCCCAAGCAGAAACCAGAACCGCGGGCGGCGGGTGCAGCTTTGCTCCGTTTCACCCCGGGGGCTGTTCTGCTGCGGGCCGGCATCTCCAAGAGACTCGCAGGCCCGGAGCTCCTGGAGCAGGTGAAGGAGGTGTGCAGGTCTGAGCTGGACGATCCGAAAGGTGAGCGTTGAATTCCAACAGGAACCAGAGAGTGAGACGTTGTAACAAAGTAAAAACCAAACTAAAGTTACTTGGTTAAGATACTCCAAAGTCAAAGCTGTAACCCTAACCTCTATCTGGACTAGAGCCCTGCACGGGCCTAAAATCTGAGCCCATACCCGGCCCGAGGGGGTGGAGCCCCAGCCCGACCCGGTCCGAAAAGGTTTTCAGGATTCTCTGGCCCGACCCGAGCCCGACTTTCTTTTAACCAACTAAATGAAAACAAAGTGCGTCAATCCTGACCAATGTGTTAAAAGACGTGCAGGATCCGATCAATTTGTTTTCCCCTCATTTATTGTCAGGGAGATGACGGCGCACTGGCTCTGGTGGTAATCAAGGTAAATTTGATCTCTTTGCAACAATTTTCACAAGAAAACAGAACAGTTAAAAGCAGGGCTTGTGTTGACCGGATAGTTCCCGTATTTGACCGTTTATTTTGACAGAGAAAGAATAGAAAGAATTACCCCGACGCATGCAGACGAACTGACATTTTATTCTACGCACATCGCAGATGTAGCTAAATCACTCAAGAAAAGATTCCCATCTGAACATCTGAGCTGGACACTGCTCAGCGCAGCTCACTGTCGGCGTGTACTACATAAGGTACACAGCGAGCTGAAGTTGTGGAGAGGGGCTTGGAGCGCGTGTCGCAGAACCAGAGCGCATGCGGGAAGATTCCTCCGACTGAAGCGAGTGTTTTCCAAACCCGGTCTCTCAGAGAGACTTGTCACTTAGAAAATGTTCCTTGATTATGAAACTTTGGCTGAATAGCGCTTGTTCCTGTCTCCAATGTGACGACGCATCCAGGAGCCGTCTGAGGAGAAGCCCAGAATCTCACATCCTCTTCAGCTCAGAATGCACCGATATGATTACGCACAAGCGTGACCCGTCAACCCGTTCACACAGTAAGACCGGGCTGGACCTGTTCAGGTTTACGCAGACAATCTTTACATAGAATTGACTTACAGATATAAAATTAATTCAGTAAAATATAAAGCATTTTATTTAAATATCCATTCATTATTTTACAAGCACAGAGAGCCGCATCAGATTCAGATCAGCGGGAAGATTCCTCTGAATGAATTCAGTGGGAGGAATCTTCCCGCATGCGCTCTGGTTCTGCGACGTACTCCAAGCCCCTCTCCACATCTTCAGCTCGCTGTGCACCTTATGTAGTACACACTGACAGCGAGCTGCGCTGAGCAGTGTCCAGCTCACATGTTCAGATGGGAATCTTTTCTCGAGTGATTTAGCTACAACTGCGATGTGCGTAGAATAAAATGTCAGTTCGTCTGCATGCGTCGGGGTAATTCTTTCTATTCTTTCTCCGTCAAAATAAACGGTCAAATACGAGAACTATCCGGTCAACACAAGCCCTGCTTTTAACTGTTCTGTTTTCTTGTGAAAATTGTTGCAAATTAAACTTGATTAACACCAGAGCCAGGCGCAATGCACCGTTGTCTCCGTCACTGTAAATGAGGGAAAAACAAATTGATCGGATCCTTTTCTGACCTTCCCCACCTACAAAGTTTAATTACAACAATCAAACGTGACAGAGCCTGGATTTGTATTCTGAACAGTCTAAACATGTTTTAAATGAAACGTATGACAAAAGTGGCACCTGCTCAGTAAAACCACCAACAGGGTGAAAAATATCAAAATATTGTAGGCAGAGACGGGCTACAACTTCTGGATCCACTTTATATAAATCGTTTTATTGATTATCGTCTTATGAAAGATAACTTTGACGTACACGAGCGACCGGTACCGGCTGCTGTCACCTGTTGTGATTGGTTAAAGCAGCTCTCTGCTGTCTGAGGGTAGGCCCCGCCCACAACGCCGCAGCTGCTGTGGCTCCCAGTGTTTTCTTTACTGTGGGAAACGGGTAATAATGGCTCTTTGATGGGAACAGGTTGCCGACCCCTGCTATAAGTGTTTCAATTTTTTTCATGAATTCGATTAAAAATAAAGGCGCCCGGCCCGTGTCCGAGGTAATTACACAGTCATTGGCCCGAAGCCCGACCCGAGGGCCGTCGGGCTTCAGTGCAGGACTCTAATCTGGAGCAAACAGGCGTGTGCTACCATTAGGATCTCAGACACAGTGCATGCTGGGAAGGGTTAGAAGGTCATTTTGAAACATTTCAGGGTTTGCCACTCGTTAAAGGAGCAACATGTAAGAATTTTACAGTGAGTCAAACTCCACGGTTCAGGAAGTCAAACGCAAAAGCTGTAGAACAGCTGGACAGTTAATTCAGTAACTATATCGATCGATCGATAAAGAAGTGGTTCAATAGGAAAAAAATGTCCTTTTTCCATTATAGCGCATTAGGTAGCTTCATACTAGTGATTACTTACTCCTGACCAATCAGAAACAGACCCAAGCATGCTCCGTCAGCAAGCCCTCTCCTCTCAGACCTGAACAAGCTGTTGAAGCGAGGAGCGGTGGAAGAAATTGTTCCGAAAAAAGTTTCAGTAGTTCACCAGCGTGGCGATATTTTCATCCTTACAAGTCTGACAAAAACAAACAACGGTGGTTTGCAGAATTAGAGAATCGATAAAAACCAAGTCTGGCAACGCAACCGACTTGTTTTATCATAAAGTTGTGTCATAAAATGACCTCGGCTGCATTTATTTTCTACATTTTTCATATAGTTTTTAATAGTTATTATCGATCAATGTGATTTTCTTTTATTGAAGCTTTTTTCTATATCGACCAGCCCAAGTGAAACATCCAAAAACCTTCAAAATAAAAGTCACGTTTAGATTACCAGTTGCTTAACTTGTAAAACAAAGTTCGTCGTTACCCGTGAGACCTCCGTAGACAAGGTTAACAACAGAAAATAAACCCCAGACCCTTTTGGGTGACCTCACGGGACCAGCCGATCCGTGGGAAGGGAGCTCGCTTGTCACTTGGTCTGGTCTTTGAAATTTGATGTAATTCATTTTACTCAAACTTTAAAACAAACTTTTTAAAATCTAAATATTATCCTGATTCATTAAACCTCAGACTTTATCTCTTTTTGTGTCATTTATTTTTGACTCATCAGTGATCTTGTTTTATCAGACGCCGACAAGCTCTTTGAGCGTGACCTAGGCGCCTTGAACATGGCGGCCCTGAACAGGCGGGTGGAGAGGGCGGGGTTACTGAGCAACCTCGGGCCATGTTGCAAGGCCCTGTGTGCACGCAGGGACTTCGCCATCCGCCGGCAGCTGTTAAAAAACGAGAAGGTAAAGAGCTCGACTCGCATAAATCCTTGATTATTTTAAGCATCTCTATCAAATTTCTTTTTTATCTTCTTCTTCTTCTTAGGGCCAAACAAAGCAGTACCCCACTACACCTTTAGTTGACAGCGAGCTGCTTCAGATGAGCATCCGCCTCTTCAGAAGGACCGTGTCCGGCCAGAACTCAGCCCCTGAAAGGTCCGACAGCGGGTCGGCTCCTGCAGCTGAAGTAGCTGAAGCTAATAGCAGTAAGCTAAGCAGTGCGCAGCCAGAGGTGTGCGTGTCCTGAGAGTAAAACACACAAAACTGAACACTTTTAAGCCTTTTCTTCCATCTTCAAAAGGCTTTTTAGTCCTGATGAAATAAAACGAAGCTGCAGGACTTGTGAATCTTTATCCTGTACGTGTTTTTGAGTCTCCTGCAGCTCCATCTCAGAAGTGTGTATTGTTCCATGTATGAAGATGCGTGAAACACACCTAACTGACATCATGTTTTTGTGCTTCATCTGGTTTTTACTCGTCAGGCTCACCTCACTAACCCTCATCAATTGACTTTGGTTTTGTATGTTGTACTATAAACATGCATTAAAATGGATAGATGTTATTTTGTTATGGCTCTTTGTACGAAACGATTCTCAAATTCTGGGACTATCGGTGGAATTCTTGCTGCATTTGTTTACATGACAAGATCCGTAACAAGCCCACGTCATCGAGACACCCTGCAGAGACTTGAATGAACATTTCATGTAAAGAAAAAAAAACACTGCCAAACTATTCTTGGAGGGATTTGTTTTAACTCCGTCTGTAGCAATATTTATGTTCTGTGTTGTTTTTACTGCTTTTGATTGGTTTGGCAGTGTCTCCTTGACAGGAACAGAAGAGCACCTGAACATGGAGAAACCCTCATCAGCCCAAATAGAAGGGATTAAAAAGTTCCTGATAAAAAAGACTCTTGGATTAAAAATTAATCTGGACTTTTTCTCTGTCCAGCTGTTGGCTTTATTAGTATGGTATCAATGAAGACATCCTTGGATTCAGCATGACCCTCTGCACTCATGAATTTGGAAAAACTGCGGAGAAAAGATTTGGCTCTGGAGAAGATTTTACTGCGTCAAATATGAACCGTTAACACTTTTTTGGGTACTTTTTGTGCAAATTTTTTTATGGAATGTATGAACAATCGTTTCTGGGAAAATATTTCACTTTCTACTGTAAAATAAACATTCCTGAACATGTAGGAGCGAGCATCAGTGGGGCTGGTGGTTTGGGCATTATTTAACTGCAATAAAACTAAATAAGTATCTCCTTACAAACCTAGATTCAACACGTTGCCAATTTAAATGTGTATTTTAATCTCTTCAGCTCTTAATTTTTTTAAAGTAATATTTTTGCCACTTCACGCATTACATCTGAGGTATATGTGAATATATATATATATATATAAATGGTGGAACTTGATTAAAAAAATTATGAGGCTTTGTAATTAATTAATCTTGATTAATCGCATTTTAATCAAGAAAATTTGCCTCAGCAATTTTTTTTATCAAAAATAATGAAACAGAATCAAACAGCAGACATGGACACTTATTAACTTGAACTAGTTTTATCTAACAAAATGCTTTTAAATTGTATTTGTATTCAAAACGGAATACATATTTTGTAAATGTATTCAGTACAACTACCTTTATAGATTGTGTAAATGTGTGTGTGTGTGTGTGTGTGTATACACACAAGTTAAACTGTCAAGAAAGAACAATGAGTTATTGTGTTTGATGAAAAAAAGCAAGAACTGGAAGCAAAAATAAAAGCACACAATAGTGATGCTAACTTCTTTTGCTGTTAATGGAAGAAAACCCAATAAAACGTGTGTATTCTAAATTTGTGGTCATTGCAATAATAATGCCAATTACTTTCTCTGGTTCAAATATAGTGTATGTGAGGCAGCACAAGGAACACACTACAAAAATTACTAATCATTTGACTGAAACAATTTTTATCGTCTCCATGCTTTGTTTATTGTGTAAAAAAGGCTGAAATACTTCTTGATGTTTATGGGGCACACAGTATTACACTATAGTAATTTGCTTTTATCCCGTACATTATTTCTCTTCATATTTCCAAAAAATTAAAAAGAAGGACGTGGAAAGTATTTTTCATTTGTTTGTTTTTTAATAACCTCGGAACCTTTACTCGTCTTTTTGTTTTTAGTAGACGTATTTTCAAACGGACTGATTTCCTTTACCCACAATCCTCTCCTCTAAGTCCGTCCTTCCGACTTCCGCCTCAGCAACTAGTCAATGTGAGTTAATTTTTCAGCGTGAATATTTTCCATAATCTATTGCCATCCTTTATGATTAAAGCCACATCTGGCCATAAAATGCATCCGAACATGTTTACAAACGCTTTGTTGTTTGTGGTTTGTGATTCTGAGGCACTTAAACGTCTAGTTTGATAGTGAAAACGATGTAGAGGAGCAGTGCCGACCGATTCCGATAGTACGGCTAGCCTGAGCTCGTTTCCTAAAGCTAGGGCTACTGCTGCAGTGTTTATTTCAGCCCAACACTGTTGGCAGATTTAGTTACTTGTTTTTCATTGTGAGTTATTTTTAACCCAATAAGGGAGATGTTGGGCTGTTTTTAACATGTTAGCTTAAGCTAGTTTAGGCTAACGTAAAGCTTGGGTTAAACAATGCTCGTGTTCACTGGAAACATGCTTTTTATTATTTTACAGCAAATTTCCACTACCTAATTTTCCTTCCACGTGTGGTGGAGTTTAGTTGAGCTCATGTGTGTTTGTTTTCAGATGGCCCCAACCAAGAAAGGAGAGAAAAAGAAGGGGCGTTCAGCCATCAACGAAGTGGTGACTAGAGAGTACACCATCAATATCCACAAGCGCATCCATGGAGTGTGAGTTCTGCAGGAGAATTCTGATGCACATTTTACCAAGCCAAATTTTAGTGTTGCGTGAGGAAACCAGACCCTGGTTCATTACAACTAGGGATGAACTTCGAAATGAAAATTCTTGGCCAAAACATAAAGAAATTATTATGCCAATAATTAGAACCATAGCATTAGAAGTAGGGCTGCAACAAACGATTATTTGGATAATCGATGAATTGGTTAGGGTCTCGACCCGATTAATTGGATTAAATGGGTAAATTTAAAAAATTGCTAGGGAAACATGTTTTCTCTCCTTTTAACAACAGAACATGATTGTTCTCTGTTAGTAGTTGTCAAAACAAAGTTAATTAACGGATCTGTTTATTCGCTTTCTTTGTTGACGTATCAGATCAATGCTCTGCATCAGCAGACTCAATCATATGATTTTTTACTTAAGTGCAACAAAACCTGATCAGAGCGAAATAAAAATAAAATTCAAATTTAAACATTTCTATGGAAACATTTTTCTCCTTTCTTTACTTAACAACAGAGCATGATTAGTAAAATGTGCATTAGGGTGCAAAACAACATATCACCTAAATATATCCATAATTAAACTATGATCAGTCAAGTTTAATGTAATTCATTAACATGTTCAGTTTAAGTTCCTGGAAATGCTAATAACATTTAATTTCTACTGCTTAAAATGTAATGGTGACATAAATATTATGTATGGGTTAACAATAATCCAGTTTAAATTATTTTCCCAGATAGATGCGGTTTTGATTTAAATGCTACACTGGCTTGCCATATCTCTTCAGCTGTGTTGGGCAGAGCAGACTTGAAGCAGCAACCTGACTGCAGTGGTATCGGTTCTGCTCCATAGCGCTGTAGACAGCCAATGAACATGACGATGATGGTGGAGACTTTTCTTCCGCTTGTAGAGTTTAGGTATTCTTAGTTTCACGACCATCGTGTTTTTCGGAACCCACTTGATCGGCTAGCATTAGCTAATCTGCTTGTCGTTGCACTTTTGATAACAAACTTTGGACTGCTTCTGTCTCTGTGTCTTTCCTGGTTTCTCTGTTTTCCTCTACAGCACCTGATTAGCACGTAGCATGCCAGCATAAAAACATCTTCCTTACACAATAATTATACGTGGGACATATATGTGTCTCTTGTTCTGATCTGCCTCGGTCTGCTCTGATGCCGCATCAGATGAGCTGCTTGCGTTGACTGTTGCATAAAGGTTGCACAACACAAAGAAAGTTGCACAAACACAACAGATCTGTGACAAAAGCGCTGCCGGCACATTCCTTCATCGAATTTGATCGATTCGTTGTTGCAGTCCTAATTTGAAGGCCTGTAAGATTAACTCTTTTAAGCGCCAAAGTCACAATATTGCTTTTAATGAGCCCAATTCAATCCCTCGTGTTATTACTTTACACCAGAAGATAGTGGAGATGTGTAGCTTCAATCAGAGCAACACTTTTAGGTGTTTCTATTGACATCTTTGGAGTGTGTTGAGTTTGAAAACCACCCTCCCGACTAAAGAGAGGGGGAGACAAGATGAGGGCGCATATTATTATATATTACAGAGAAGAAACTTACAATGTTGACAAGTCTGTTCGTTGTTGACAAAGCTCTGTCTGGTAATGCTGACTCTGGCTGAAGAGGACTGTTCACCCTCTGATGAAGCTATTCACTCGTCCAGTGATAAACAAAGTGACTCTGCAGCTGCTTGAGAGGAAACTTGCTTCACACACACACACACACACACGATCCAAAGCTTCTTTCACTGTGTTCAGGACATGGTGGGTGTAAAAATGATTGTAGAAACACAGGTCAATGTGCAGTAGCTGTGCTTGTTCATTAGTCTGCCATATTCATGCTAACATGAAAATATTAGTTGAGCCATTTCGTCTGGCTCAGTTTTTGTCTTTCAGTGGGTTTGATTAAAAACCATGAAAACATGCTATGTTTGTGCTAAGCTACAATCTCCGAGAATGTATAGGGGTTGAAAGGAGTGATGGCGGACTGCTTACAAAATTTGTTGAGAGAATTGTGTTGATTGATCAAACACACCGATTTTCGTTTTCTCTAGGGGTTTCAAGAAAAGGGCTCCTCGTGCCATCAAGGCGATCCGCAAGTTTGCCATGAAGGAGATGGGGACTCCTGATGTTCGCATCGACACTCGTCTCAACAAGGCAGTGTGGACCAAGGGTATCAGGTCAGATGATGCAGATTTATACACAGTTCACTATTTATTGTGAAAGCAGTTCAAGTGTGTCGTGTCATTTTTGCCTGGATCAGAATTGCACGACTATGTTATGGTGCAGACGGCTGTACCCCCAAATAAGTGTGTGTGAAGTGTTTTATAGCTTAAGTGTTCTAGTTGCAACTAAAACACGAGACTATAAATAAAAGGTTACATTTGCTTTTAAGGCAGTATTCATTTATTTCTAGAATACATAAGAGCTTCAACCATCAGTCTGATGTGAGTTTTGTGCCCACCTAAAGAAAATATTGAGTTGTCATCAATATCAATAAATTATATTTCAGTAGCTGAAGATCTTTTGCATTTGTCGTTAGTAAAGGGATGCTTCTGGTGGCAGGAGAAAATGGTTCAAGATATGAGCAAAGCACTGAACTCCCAGAATGCATTGCTGTTTTTAGTATCTGGAGAGGAACACTGGTTTTATTAGCTTCCTGTTGCGCCTGTGTTAAGAATTTTGTGGCGTCCGTTCATCGTTGCTCGTCATTCATGATTGTTAACCCTGAACAGGAACGTGCCGTACAGGATGCGTGTCCGATTGTCCAGGAAACGTAACGAGGACGAGGATTCCCCCAACAAACTGTACACCCTGGTCACATACGTCCCCGTCACCACGTGCAAAGGTTAATATGCGGCTCTGATGTTGGTCGTCTGCAGCATCACGCACTTTCATTGGATTAACTCCTGTCTCCCTTTTTCCTCCTCAGGTCTGCAGACCGTCAATGTTGATGAAAACTAAACTTGTTCCCTCTGCGAGTGGAATAAAAAGAAAATAAGAAGCTTTTTGTCTCGTCTTTATTTCTTTATGGCCTTGTGTTAAAATGTTTGACACAGAGTGAGGATTAAATCAGTGCAAATTATTAATAACATAAGGACGGTGTACATCTGTTGAAGTTACACTTGCAGTTAGATATTTGTGTGAACAGTCCCATTTTCTGTATAAATTCAGTACATCTTGAAATACTTTAACTCCATTGGCATATTGAGTTGCACGATGGTGCAGTTGATCACACCATTGCCTTGCAGCAGGGAGGTTGCTGGTCCAAACCCTGGAAACCTCGTGTTTCAGTTTGAGTTGTTTTAAATAAATTGTGTTGCTCAGAAAATGTTTTCTCACTCCCATTTCGTTTTGATGCATGTTATAACCACCTGGAACCTGTTAAGATTCAATTGTGCCAAAAAGCATTTTTTGGCAATTTTCAAGTGTTCTAAAACTTTTGATCTATTTGAAGTTTCTCTACTAGAGTACTATTTGTAGTTACTGTATCCCCTCTAGTTACTTAATTCATTGAAAAACAGTTTTCAGATTAAATACTAAATATGCCAGAGTGTAGCAACTCATGTTGTTTACCATTCAAATGCAATAATGAAAACAAAATGTTCGTCGTCGTCTTCCTCCGCTTATCCGGGTCGCGGGGGCAGCATCCCAACTAGGGAGCTCCAGGCCGTCCTCTCCCCGGCCTTGTCCACCAGCTCCTCCGGCAGGACCCCAAGGCGTTCCCGGACCAGATTGGAGATGTAACCTCTCCAACGTGTCCTGGGTCGACCCGGGGGCCTTCTGCCGGCAGGACATGCCCGAAACACCTCCCCGGGGAGGCGTCCAGGAGGCATCCTGACCAGATGCCCAAACCACCTCAACTGGCTCCTTTCGATCCGGAGGAGCAGCGGTTCTACTCCGAGTCCCTCCCGAATGTCCGAGCTCCTCACCCTATCTCTAAGGCTGAGCCCGGCCACCCTACGGAGGAAACTCATTTCGGCCACTTGTATCCGCGATCTCGTTCTTTCGGTCATTACCCAAAGCTCATGACGTAGATCGACCGGTAAATCGAGAGCCTGGCTTTCTGGCTCAGCTCCCTCTTCCCCACGACAGATCGGCTCAGCGTCCGCATCACTGCAGACGCCGAACCAATCCGCCTGTCGATCTCCCGATCCCTCCTACCCTCACTCGTGAACAAGACCCCGAGACAAGAAAACAAAATGTTAACATTTTTAACCAATAATGCAGCAAAATTAGCATAAAACTGCTTCAGTGTTGTTGTAAAACTAAACCTGCTGTAAGCACCACAGAACAGAAAAGGCTAGCAAGTGCTGGTCCTATTATAAACCAAAGTGTTTGCTAATTTAATGCACATTTTAAAAATGTGTTGCACACGTTTATGTACGTACTTTTCCAAATAACCCCCCGTCGACAAAAAGTCAAGCAAACACTCAAGTCTCCTCACTTTGAATCAGGAATCGAGATTTACTCAAACCTAAACTGACCAGTTTTGCTATTCGACATTCATTTAACAGAGAACTTCACCCTTTGTTCCAAAATTCTTCAAGTTTTCTATTCCACCAAAAGCGAAAGAGATTCATTTCAAGGTGATCAATAGAACTGATCCTTCTGCTGAATTCCTACACAGTCGATTTGGTTTAGACTGCAATGGCTGAATATTCTGTAACGAACAGATTGACTACAGACCACATATTCTATGAATATATGTCCACGAATGCCTTTTGGGATGATCTACACTCACCTAAAGGATTATTAGGAACACCACACTAATACCGTGTTTGACCCCCATCACCTTCAGAACTGCCTTAATTCTACGTGGCGTTGATTCAACAAGGTGCTGAAAGCATTCTTTAGAAATGTTGGCCCACATCATCTTGCAGGAGATTTGTGGGATGCACATCCAGGGCACGAAGCTCCCGTTCCACCACATCCCAAAGATGCTCTGTCGGGTTGAGATCTGGTGACTGTAGTACAGTGAACTCATTGTCATGTTCAAGAAACCAGTTTGAAATGATTGGAGCTTTATGACATGGGGCATTATCCTGCTGGAAGTAGCATCAGAGGATGGGTACATGGTGGTCATGAAGGGATGGACATGGTCAGAAACAACGCTCAGGTAGCCCGTGGCATTTAAACGGTGCCCAGTTGGCACTAAGGGGCCTAAAGTGTACCAAGAAAACATCCCCCACACCATGACACCACCACCAGCAGCCTGCAGTGGTCACAAGGCATGATGGATCCATGTTCTCATTCTGTTTATGCCAAATTCTGACTCAACCATCTGAATGTCTCAACATAAATCAAGACTCATCAGACCAGGCAACATTTTTCCAGTCTAACTGTCCAATTTTGGTGAGCTGGTGCAAACTGTAGCCTCTTTTTCCTGTTTGTAGTGGAGATGAGTGGTACCCGGTGGGGACTTCTGCTCTTGTAGCCCATCCGCCTCAAGGTTGTGCGTGTTGTGGCTTCACAAATGCTTTGCTGCATTCCTCAGTTGTAACGAGTGGTTATTTCAGTCAAGTTGTTCTTCTATCAGCTTGAATCAGTCGGCCCATTCTCCTCTGACCTCTAGCATCAACAAGGCATTTTCGTCCACAGGACTGCTGCATACTGGATGTTTTTCCCTTTTCACACCATTCTTTGTAAACCCTAGAAATGGTTGTGGGTGAAAATCCCAGTAACTGAGCAGATTGTGAAATACTCACCAGAACCACACCCCTAAATGCATTGAAGCAACTGCCATGTGATTGGTTGATTAGATAATTGTATTAAGGAGATGTTGAGCTGTTCCTAATAATCCTTTAGGTGAGTGTACATCACTGGTTAGCTAAATATGTACCAATTCCAGATTTGAAAATTGAAAATGTTATGTATGGTTGCATTGCAAACAATGTAGGGTTTAGGAAGTGCTTTAAGAGCTCAATATACATATTACTTCTACTAAAGATCAATAAGCTGTGATACTCTATCTAAATATACAATATCAACCTGCTTGGTCTTTACGGTGTTTAATCAGAAGATTCTAGGATTCTTTGTTTATTCAGGGATTGTAAACACTTTGTTTTGATTCAAGGAAGAGTCAGGTTTGTAAAAGTAAAAATTTAATTCACAAACAATGTGATGGATTAATCTAGATGTAGTATATGGTGCCTATGTGTGAATGCGGTGTTAGTCAGAACTTCCGTATCTAGGAGAGCTGAGTTCTGGATGTACAAGAATTTGGTTTGCGTTAAGCTATGAAGTTGATTATTATCAAAAGCACATCAGACGCTATCTGTGTGTCTACTTCACCCGTTCTCGGAGACCCTCTTGGTGGATCCGAAGGTCAGGGAGGTCGGATGACCTCTGGCACTGAAGGGCTGTAGAATACAGTGGCACCAACTCTTCAGTCCAGAGATGTCTCGGGTCACGACAGATGGATGGAACCGCACGTCTGGGACTTTTAAGGAGTCTAAACAATATCAGCTTGTTCTGCAGGAACTGTTTCTGTATCAGCTTTGCAGGTGCAAAAAGGTTTTGACGACATGTCAACAGCTTTGATGGTTAAAGTGGGTTTAGCTTCAGGTGGCCGGTCTGAAGCTTTCTCTAGAACTGAGGAATCACCAGAGTGATTTGGTTTTAATGTTCTCATGTTATGATTTATGTAGCCAACCAGAGGTTGAAGTTGAGGAATATTACCAAGAATCTCAGAAACACGTCTTCCTTGATACCGGATGCTCTGATCTGGGTAAAGGACTATCTATGTGTCATGAGTTTAACTTAACTTTACTTTGTCCTTGTGTGAGTGCAAATGGTGATGACCTTGTCATATAAACATGCTGAAACATATTTCAGTCACTGTAATCATAACATAACATTCATTCAGAACCTCGCCTCTGTCAGTGCGCCCCAGGGCAGCTGTAGCGACATCGTAGCTCATCACCATCAGTGTGTGAATGGATGAATGATACACTGTAGTGTAAAGCGCTTTGGAGTCCTTACTCTGAGAGAAGCTTTACAAGTGCGGGTCATTTATCATTTCAAACTTCAATCATTGAGCACAGATTAATGAAACATTTCATTATATTATAATTATTATAAGTAGCAACAAACAAACGTTTATTTAATCATTATCCAGCTTATAAGTTTTAGAAGTTCATATTTAATTTAGGAAGTCATTCTTTGATTTAGCAACTGATCCGGGCTGTGAGTGTTGTGTTCACTTATTCAGAGGCATGAAGAATCCTGTAGGACGATAAGGGAAGATTGGGTCTTGAGGAGAGAACATTATTGTTGGCAATTCGTTATCATGTGTTCAGAGCTGCAGAGAGGCTCTGAGCTCCAGCTGATGGGATGAAGGCAGGCCAATTTAAAGGGAACACATGCAGTCTCGTGTCTCCTTTTTGTCCAGATGTTGAATGGTCAAACAGTACCTAAAAACTGACCATTGCTGGACATTACAACAACTTCAAACATGATTTGACAATCAACTTTTTATACGTAAAAACAGATTCTTAAAATCTAGACCAAACTTTGTTGCTTTTCACAAAGAATTGTGCCTCTTCTTTTCATCACTGAAATATGAGGGGAAAAAACTGCTGTGAAACTCTTCAACATGGTAGAAGATCTCAAACTGATGGAAAACCTCTAGCTATTTGTAAAATTTGAAATGGTGTAAAAATTACAAATATACTTATTTTTTTGTTAGTCTCTCCCTTATTTACTATATTCCTTCTTTTATTCATTTATTTTTAATGTTGTTTTTAATTATTATCTCTATTGTTATATTCTATCATTGTAAGGGTTTACAATGTGAGATTTGGGGTTAAATTATGATCAGTAAGATGTGATGATTCTATATAAATATAGGATATCACCCTGACTGATCTTTGAATGTTTAACCAGAAGAATTTAGGATTCTTCGCTTATTCAGGGACTATGAACACACTTCGAATTAATTCAGACAGAGTCAAGGATATAATTAAAATAAACTTAATTTTCTAGACTAATTATATACATGACAAGCTATGAACACCTTTATGTGATGGATGGATATAAGTGGATGGAATGTGATGTACGATGATGGAATGGTGTGTGATGTTTATCAGAACCTTGAATCTGGAAGAAACTGAGTTCTGGGTGTGAAAGAATTTGGTCTGCTGCAAACTAGAAGTTGGTTATTAATAAAACAACATCAGACACCAGTTTGAAGGTCTACCATACCCTTGTATGAGTTGTTCCCGGCGGTCCGAAAGTTTGTAGTCAGAGTGGTGAGGCCACCGGACGTCAAGGCCACGATCCTCAGAGATTAGTAGCTTCCTCTGAGTTCAAGCTTCCCCGGCCATGGGATACAACCCAGGTCTGCAGATTAGATGTCCAAGATGGATGTCTGAGAGTTGCAGTAGCTCTGAAAAGAGCTGTTGTATGTAATCACTTGCAGCGTCGTGGCAAGGTTTTGACTTAAGGTCAAAGAGATGTTTCAAAAAGGCTTCTTTCCCGATTTGGCCGAATCGAGGCGTCAGCTAGAATCTGAGTTAATCGGGAAGTAAATTCTGTTTTATTACCACCATGTAATGATTCTGGCGTGTTTGATTACGTTTACCAAACATCCCTCAGAACCACACCTTCGTCAGATACAAAATGTTCTTGTTCTGTGGGTAAAGAATCTTTAAACGTTATGTGATGTGACGTTAACCATAATTTATATCTTATGAACATTGTGTATGAGTGCAGATAGTGAATAACTTGTTAAATCAAACAGTACTGATCAAATTATGTAAATGGATCATTGTGATGATAATATTCATATCATATCAACCATATGTTTATTTAATGATTATTTAACTTATGAGTTGTAAAAGTTCTTCTTTCATGAGAGTGTGCAATCCAGCAGTCTGAGATAAGAGGAAAGATTGAAGACCTTGGGAGTTATCTTGTGTAACCAGCAGAGTCTGGACTTTAGGAGACAGGAGAGAAAATCCATCCAGATAGTGGATTTGTTCTGCAGTTGATGTTGGTCAAACATATTGGTGAAAACTGACCATTTATGGACGCTACATCATCTTATCTGAATGTAATGAAGTTGACTTTAATAAAAAAAAAAACGATCAGAAACACTAATTTCCGGGGTTCAGCCGGAAGTGAGGTCCGCTGTACTGTTAGCAAGGCGCTGCCGCCAGAGGGCGCTACTTTTTTATTGAACAGTCGGATGTTGTAAATAGTGGACGCGTTTCGATTTTCAGCGTTTTACTCCGCAGTTTGCTCAGCTGTGAAGTAGCTTTATTCATTAACACGGTAAGATAAAAAACACACATTGTTTTATTACCAGATTTGTTAGATTATCATGAGCCTCATCGAGATTAACTGATTCATCTGTTCTTAATGGAGGCACAGGCGTGGCTAGCTAATCGATAAATCTCACTGCCGAGATAATATTCAAATCAGCTTCATTTGAATTTACGTTTATTGCGTTTGAAATGAACGGAAGGATTTGAGTGCTTATTGTTGACCCGCTTTGAGAGTTTTATAACCCCCTGTCGTGTAGATAAGGTGATGCTTTGATGTTTGATTACCTGTCCAGGTGCGAGCTTTACTCAGGGTTTCCATGGACACACATGGACCACTGACGCTGAAACCATGCGCCACCACTGGCTGCTGCTCGGGGCTTGCGGCTGGGTCCTCCTCATCCTGGTGTTTGTGACCAAGTTCATGAGCCTCAGAAGTGTAGAAGGTAACAAAACCAGTGCTGCTTTTAGCATTAATAACCAGTTAAAGTGACTAAGGGTTATGGCTAGATGTGCTGTTGAAATGCGTTTGCTTTAGATTTTAAAGTCTGGATCGGGGTGGGCAATCCTGGTCCTCGAGGGCTACTTTCTAGCAGGTTTAGTTGTTTCTCTGCATAAACATGCCTGGTTTGAATCTGCTGGTGATTAACAGGCTGCTGCAGAGCCCGATGAGCTGCTGAACAGGTGATTTATCCAGGAGTTAGGTGTGTTGGAGCAGGCAAACAACTAAAACATGCTGGAAAGCGGCCCTCGAGGACCACGATTGCCCACCCCTGGTCTAGATAATTAACTGGAAACACCACAGATGCGTTCATCATGCTTGCTTCCAGACTGGGAGTCAAGTCCTTTGTGTAAGTTTATTTTAAGAAGGCACAATAAGTTGAGAACCTTGTTTTGATTCATGCAAACGTTTGCTTCATGTGTTCATAGATTATGGAGAAAGATTGGGTCAGGGTTCGACAATGTTGGTCACCAAAGCGGTGAAGCAAATTCCAGCTTTAAGCCAAGAAAAACGAGCTTCGGCTCCATCGCATCAGGTAGCCGTCTGCCTCATAGGTGCTTTATCCTAACAGGAGTTTCTGAGTGTTAATGAGTGTGTGTGTGTTTCTCCAAGGCCTTGATGGTTCCCACAGCATCAGACTGGCAGGCCGTTGCTGATAAGCGACTGGATTTGTTGTCAGCTGTGTGTAAAAACAGCAGCCTGAGGAATTTAACTCATGTTTCTATAAACAAGTTTGTCCTGGATCGTATTTTTGTGTGCGACAAGCACAAGATCTTATTCTGCCAAACGCCTAAAGTGGGCAACACGCAGTGGAAGAAGGTTCTCATTGTGCTTAATGGTGAGCATGTGGCAAATCTTTTACCTGTTTTTGTTTAAAGGTGCATTATGTAGAAATGAAGTAAAAATGACATCCTGTAGTAAAATGTGGTTACTGTAACCACTTTTAAACAACTGGAGCTTTTTGCTAGCCGTCATCAAATCACAGTTGTGGGCGCAGCAGTATTAGCTCTCAGGAGACACGGCACCCCCACACTCTCTGATGGTAAACAGTAGTTATGTCATCCTTTTGTTTTATAAGGAGACAAACAGACGATCCAGCAGCTGGATATGAAACGTGTTTCAGTATAACCTTCTGTCCAAAATGACTGAAACATTAAACTCTTTTGGGATTTTCTTGCTGCGAGATTCTCTCTAACTTCTTACATACTGCACCTTTAAAAACAAACCAACATTTATGAATTCATGTTGGTGTTTAAAGTGAAATCCGGCATGTTGCTGCTGACAGGAGCTTTCGCCAGCGTGGAGGAGATCCCGGAGAACCTCGTCCATAACCATGAGAATAACGGCCTGCCGCGCCTCTCCTCGTTTACTCCACAGGAAGTAACTCGCAGGTTGGTGCAGTGTTGTTCTTGTGGACGCCTCCAAAGGCGACGCCTTGATGTCGCCTGTTGTGAGGGGTGTTGCTAGAGACCGTTGACTCGTTATCTCTTGCTGTGTGCCTGAACAGATTAAACTCCTACTTTAAGTTTTTCATCGTGCGAGACCCCTTTGAGCGGCTCATCTCTGCCTTCAAGGACAAGTTTGTGAAGAACCCTCGCTTCGAACCGTGGTACAAGCACGACATTGCTCCAGCTATCGTCCGCAAATATCGCAAGAGCCACAGAGAAAGCAACCTCTCGGCCTCCGGGCTACACTTTGAGGACTTTGTGCGTTACCTCGGTGACGCAGAAGGTCGCCAACACATGGACCGGCAGTTCGGCGAGCACATCATCCACTGGGTGACTTACGCTGAGCTGTGCGCGCCGTGCGAGATCCACTATAGCGCGGTGGGACACCACGAGACTTTAGAGCAGGATGCCCCCTACATCCTCAAAGCCGCAGGGATTGACCAACTAGTGTCGTATCCGTCCATTCCTCTGGGAATAACGCGCTACAACAGGACCAAGGTGGAGCACTACTTCTCTGGCATCAGCAGGCGGGACGTCAGGCGCCTCCTCACACGTTACCAGGGCGACTTCCTCATGTTTGGCTACCCAAACCCAGACTTTCTGCTCGGTTAGAATATTTCACAACGATATGAAAGCGTATTTTCACATGAAGCATGTGGGTTAGTGGCGTTTTTGTCTGAATCTGACAGATCTGAATGACTGCTATGTAGTAGGTCACACTTCTGCACTTTTTTTGTACTTTTCTTACTGATGCTGAAGGAAAATACTCAATATTTACCCTCCTGTATTTATTCTGTTCATCTCAGAGGCGTCCTCTATTATTCTAGGAACCAGGCCCATGATCTTGTCTGGTGTAGCTATCATATTGCACTGAATGGACCACCTGTTACAGTATGAATTAAACATTGTCCATGGGTATGATTTAGAAACTAAATTAGCGTTTCATGTTTTTTTGACTCACTAAAGGAACGTCGGTCTCGGCTGCAGCTGCGAAACGCCGACTGTAGCTTCTGGTTCTTCCGTTATTAAAAAAACTGAAGATGCTATTGATGGAAAGAGGTGATTTTCTACCAGAAGTGTTTGTTGTAAATTGTCATAACGTTTATATATTAAATGTTGCTATTTATAATAACTTGGGGACAAGATGGCTGTTACACCTAAAGACAAATAAAATAAATGTTAACGACTTCTGTAAAAACTGGATTTTCTTCTGTTGCCGTTCATTCACCACAAATAGGATTTATTTAAAATTATTTTATCTTGCAAAACAGTGCAACTTTTCTTTGTTTTGATGGTTTTTTTCAACAACCAAAACTTTCTTTGGTTCCTCTTTTGTTTCCTTACAGATTTCGGCAAGAAAAAATGTGCTGTAAGATATCCAGTTTTATCATTTGATATTGACTTGCTTAGCAGTAAATGAAAGAGGGCAATGTTTCTCTCATCTACTGGTAACAGTTAGCTAGCAGCAATAACAGTTAAAAACCATGCAGTTTATGCTAGGTGACCAAACCTCTTTTTCCGTGACATTTTTGCTTTTCGTGCTATTAGGGACATCTGCGAAGATTTCAAAGATTGATGAAATGTCTTGCTTTTCATCGTTTTTCAGAAGATTTCAACTTACAATACATAAACACGACAGCACAGCCCTGTGATATACTCCCGACCTGCTCAAGTGGATGGTTCTGAAAGGAGGTTGCAGTAGCCTAACATCCAGGTGTTGCACCTGTCACTGAGTGGTGCTGTTTAACTAATTCCAACTAGGTCCCCATCTAGCAAATGGTCCTATTATGTAAAATGACCCATCCATAATTAAAAAGTATTAAGAGGGATAAAATTTTAGGTTGAAGTGTGTAAATGAATGTCTCAGAATAAAGTTTTGGGGTGTAAAAGTGACCCTAAGCCCCTTACATTACCTTAACCAGCCCTTCCATAGCCTTGCAAAACTGTTAACCTTAAATCGGATTTTGATGGCATTGATACAAAAATAGCACGTTTGTTCAGTAGGAATCAGCACCCCCTAGAGTCACATGTGTCTTAGAGCGTTTTGTTTTATTATATATTTGAAAAAAAAAAAATTCAGATTTTTGTCCCATATGACTGACCAATTTGTTTCAGGGTATCTTTTAAACCGTTAAGTTATTTCTACAGAATATTATTTTTTTTTTCTTTTTGACTTATTGGCCTAGCTGAAGTTATTTATATTTTCTAACCACATAGAACCGACACACTTTAAAGTCAAAAGCTTTCTTCAAGTAAACAACACAAGTTCAGCGCTTCAGGAGAGTCTCCTTTTTGGATACCAACTAATGGACACCCAAAGAACCTAAACTTTTCCAACAAAACCAAAACTAATTAAGTCAGTCTATGCTGCATTAGCAAAATAAAAACAAAATTAAATCACACAAGTTGTAATGTTTATTTTATTGCCCATTTTCTATCAGGAACAGCATGCGACAGAGGAAAATGAAGACACGCTGGAACAGGCAGCTGAGAATGCAGAGGTGAACTTCACATCAACAGAAAATCAGACATAACCTTACAGTAAATATGAAACCAACTTTGGTATACTCTAACAGCAAGCACAATCACTGGATGAAAAAATGGAGAGTGTTGAAACAAGCTCAGATCAGATTCAGCAGGTGAGGGTTCAGGAAGCAAACATATGTAAGTTTTTGCAGGGCTTTGCATTGGTTCAACTTGTACAAATATGTGGAAAGAAAACAGATTTGATTAAAACAACAGATCTACAACACTACAATTACTACTAAAATACAAACAGAAAAGTAAGTTGTGTATATAACGTAATGGCAATAGACCAGTTGGAGAACACTGTGTAGAATCAAAACATTTCTGAGAACTCTCCATCCATCTTCTGACCCCGCTTTGTCCACGCAGGGCCATCTCCAGCAGTAAACGGGCAAGTAGGCGGGGTACACCCTGGACAGAGAGCCAGTCCATCGCAGGGCAACACAGAGACACACAGGACAAACAATCATGCACACACACACACACACCTAAGGACAATTTAGACAGACCAATTAACCTAACAGTCATGCTTTTGGACTGTGGGAGGAAGCCGGAGAACCCGGAGAGAACTCACACATGCACAGGGAGAACATGCAAACTCCATGCAGAAAGATCCCAGGCTGGGAAGCGAACCCAGGACCTTCTTGCTGCAAGGCAATAGCTCTAACCACTGCGCAGCCCATTTCTGAGAACTATGTAAAGAAACTAATGACAATTGAATAATTACATTTTAGGTCGAGTCATCAGCTACTGATGCGGGGAAGCAGGATAACCCTCCACATGCAAACCAGGAGATCCATACAGCTGAGGGTCTAAGTTCCCCTTACCAACCAGCAGCACAGCTAACTGAGCCACAAACTCTGCTGAACCGCACTCCACTTCCAGGAGAGCTGGTTCAAAATCTTCCCCTGGCTCAATTACAGTCCTGAAATAAAAGGAGTTTTGTGCTTCTACTGCAGAACTGCTTTTAAAAAGAACATTTCAACAATGGCAAAAAACTGAACGTACCTTTATTTCTCAGGGGTTCAGAAACTGGAAGAAGGCTAGGGAGTCATTTGACAGGCACGCTGGTAGTAGGGCACACATAATTGCTGTCAACACACACACGCACACACACAGGTCAGTCAGAATGCAACTATGCAGTATCTCAGAAAGTGCACAGGAGAAGGCCAGGTCAGCACTGATAGAGATTGTTAGTTCAGTGAGGTACCTTGCAAAACAGGGCCTAGCTCTCAGAGGTCATGACAACGATGATGGAAACTTCAAGCAGCATCTGGATGAGAAGGCTGAGAATGACCTCAATCTGGCAAGCTGGCTGTAGAAGAATCATTCCTACACAAGTCCTGTGTGTCAAAATGAGCTGCTGATGTTAATGAGCAACAACCTTATCAGACAAACAACTGAAATCCACGTGTTACCTGCAGGGCTGTGCAGAGACCTTTGAAGGGGCGGGTGCTCAAATTTAAAAAGGGGCACACAGAATAATATTTTCAAACACCATGACATAACCACAGTATACCCGGCTGAATAACAAATCATATTTATTAGAAATTCAAAATGGAAGCGAATCATTATATACACCCTTACCACATAAGGACAATGTAAAGCAAAAGTAACTTGTTTTGGTAAATGGTCTGTATTTGTATAATGCCTTCTTAGGGTTGTACAACCCCCCAAGGCACATTACAACACGATCAGTCATTCACACACACACATTAACACACACACATGGTGATGAGCTATGATGTAGCCATAGCTGCTCTGGAGCGCACTGACAGAGGTGAAGCTGCTGAGCACAGGCACCACCAGTCCCTCCGACCACCACCAGCAGGCAAAGCAGGTTAAGTGTCTTGCCCAAGGACACAACAGCATCAATCTCTGATTGAAGTCAGGATCAAACCTGCAACCTTCTTATTACTGGACAACCTGCTCCACCTCCTGATCTATTGCTGTCCTATTTTACCTGATGATGGGGTACAATGTAGCTGTTGCAGGGTCACTCCTCTTGCTGCTGCTGATGATGCTGGAGGGCAAGGCTGTGTTGATCTCAGACTGCAGGTAGTAAAACAAACAGAGGAGAAATGTTAGTCAATTACAAAATTAATGTAAGATAATAAAAAAATGGCAAAAATTGGTGAAAACTCTTAGAACTGTAAGACAGAAATATCTGAGAAAAAACCTGTGGTGAATGAATGGAAATCTAAACGTTAGTGGATAATAGAGGAGTTTATGTCAGAGATAAGAATGTGACAGAAATATAAACAGAAAGAGGTGTGTGTGTGTGTGTGTGTGTGTGTGTGTGTGTGTGTGTGTGTGTGTGTGTGTGTGTGTGTGTGTGTGTGTGTCTTCAATCTCCTCATGTGATCTATCACTCTCCACTTGCTGTCCATCTGAGAACAATCCACTTGTTTACTGTCTCAAACACTCACAGCATTAGTTATTAAGATTACAGTTCTGACATCAAGTTCAATATGCATTTAATTTTGGTTCACCAATTATTTTTTTATGCTACAATTAATTTAATCATTCTGCTGTTCCCAGTGTGTTCACAATCTGTATTTGTGTGCATTCAAACCTAATGGTTATTCCCCTTTTCATTTTTGTTCTGTTAATGAAACAGTTAACTGATCCATCTTTGAATAAAGAATCCTTCATATTATTTTAAGCTTCAAAAGACTCAAGGCATCCAAACCAAATAAAGGGAGAGCGGCTAATGTAACGGATCACCTTCTGACCTGTTCAGTAGATGTGGTCTGGACAATTTGTGTCATCACTCTTGTGCTCCACATTCACCAAAAAGCAGATTATGGCACCAGATTATTCTTCAACATGCTTTTATTGGCAGCAATCTGGTCCAACAGAACACACACAATTTCCATCAATGTGTGTCATCCAGCCTCACACAGGGGGTCTCCACCAACTTACATGTCACTGTGCTGCGTGATTGTATAGTGGTTATTATTATTACTATTCAAGTTTTTTTTCCCACAATTTACATAAAAAACAGATTATAGTGGATAACCAAAAGTTGCTAACAACACTTGTAACACTAATACATTTTTCTTCTATAACATTCATACATGAGCCTACCTGGTATAACGGAACACACAATTTCCATCACTAGCCACGTTTACATGGGAACAAGTAATTGGATTGAACACCCAGTCAGATCAAAAATTCTGCACATTACATTTTTCATTTATGGTGTTTATGTACCACTTTTTCCTGTAAAGACAACTCTCTGCGCATGCTCAACCAATTTATTCGGAATGAATGCTTGGTGCATAAATTAGTGTCCATGTAAACAGATATTTGGGATTTCTGAACAGCCAAGATTTTAATCGGATAGAGGAGATTTTGTGCATGTAAACGTGGCTAATGTGTGTTATCCAGCATCACACTCTGTTCAGGTTAAAAAGACAGCGAAGTAACTTAACACTCACTCACGAGAAGTTCGCTTCTATTAGCAACACGCTAATCGAAGCATTATCACCCATATAACTTGCTTTTCTTTTTAAAGATACAGCTTTAAAAACAAGTCACAAAGGCAACTTTACTCAACTTAAAATCGACTTATTACAACATATAATTCTGCTCACATGTACTCACCTCCACCATCTTACCCGACATCTCGACATCTTACCCTCATCTTTGTTTAAAAGTGCTTTTCAGTCCATCGGTCCCAGCGTGCTCTCTACAATGCTTCTCTGGTTTCTGGTCAGGTCCCTGCTTACTTTAAGAATGCTGTAATCCACCCGCTTCTTAAAAAACGAGTCTTGGCCCCTCTCTCCATAGCAGCTTCAGACCCATCTCTAAACTTCCGTTCATCTCCAAGATCTTGGAAAAGGTTGTGGCTAAACAACTCACAGCTGCTCTTGATGAACATAACATCTATGATAGTTTCCAGTCAGGTTTTCGTAGAGCTCATTCTACTGAAACAGCTCTTCTTAGGGTCTCTAATGACCTTCTGACTCACAGTGATGCAGGGGACTGTTCTGTTCTGGTCCTGCTGGACCTGACTGCAGCCTTTGACACTGTTAACCATCACCTGCTACTGGAGAGGCTGAGAGACTGGGTAGGCCTATCAGGAACTGCTCTGGAGTGGTTCTCCTCTTATCTTTCTGAGCGCTCCTTTTCTGTGGCCGTCTCCAAGTTTAGGTCCTCCACCACCTCCCTTACCAATGGTGTCCCACAAGGTTCTGTGCTGGGGCCTCTGCTCTTCCTCCTCTATCTGCTTCCTCTTCAGCACATCCTGAGCTCCTTCAAAGGAATCTCCTACCATCTTTATGCAGACGACATCCAACTGTACATCTCCTTTAAGCCCCATGAGATGTCTAAGCTGCAGCTGTTACACACCTGCTTAGACTCTATCAAAACCTGGATGGCTGTGTAGCAACATGTAATGGCCTCATTTGTGACCCAAAGGTCACATTTCCTCAGCTGGGTCAAGCTGTCCTGGCTGCACTTCTATCTACAGATTATCCATCACAGGAGATGCAAAGTCTGCTGTAAACCATCTTTAATCTGAACTGCCTTACCATATCTTGACTTCCTTTGCCTCCACAGCAAGACAAGGATTTTATCACGTTCCAGAAGAATCATTTATAATAAACTCTTTTTACTGTTAAATCACCAAAGGTTTATTATAAATGTATTTAATTACTGAAATGAATTATTATTCTGTGGTTAATAATTATTTATGATGATCAGTAATGTTTAATCATGACAAGTGTATTATTTGCATCCTCACACATAGTCTCCATGTTAAATGGTAACCTTGCACTCACATAACCTTTTGTCACATGACAACCCAGAACTTTCTGTCTCTGAGAGGGCGTGTTCTGAGGTATGTTAAGTCCTACACTCTAACAGGTCAAAATCTGATTTGTTAGAATGAGATTACCGGCCGTCTCTTAAAACCTAACTCCTCAGTTCAAATTCAGTTCTTGAGCTCACCAAATTCTCTCCGTGGCAACGAGAGTCCAGAGGATCGAGTCGGCCGTTCGAAACCTCTACTAAAGCTTTTCTGTCACGCCGATAGAATTGCTTCAACAGAAACACCATCTGCAGCACAAGCTGACGCAGAACTCCTTCAGAGTTAAACTACCCTTGTTAAAAGAAATGTGTTTAACTTTGAAAATGTGGGCGCAATTTTAATTGTCAAAAACTCCAGCGAATCATTAGTTCATTTTGCTCAAATAGAAATTGAGGCCTGCCTCTAATTCTGGCCCTCCTTCCAATAAAGGCCTGGAGCCTGATGAGCTTGAGTAAAATACAGGCCCGGGCCTGTATTAGAGGATTTACGGTAAATGTTAATCTTTTGATTAAATATAGACCAAGCCAGTGGGTGTATGAACTTCTATCGGTTATATAAATATCCGTGGACATATATATATGGTATAAGTTTCATTGCCAATTTGTTTGATCTTTCTCAGGGTTTAACAAGCTGAATAGGAACAGCAGTTAAATTCTAGTTATGTAGATTAACAACGCTACAGCCGGGAGCTTTCTACAGCTGAATGAAGATAAGACTGAGATCCTCATCTGTGCCCCAGACAAGCTGGTTCCCAAAGTCAGAGACTCTCTTGGTCAGCTTGCTTCTCACACCAAACCTTCCATCAGGAATCTTGGTGTGACCTTTGACCCAACTCTCACCCTGGATTCTCATGTCAGTTCTCTTGTTTGCTCTTCCTTCTTCCATCTCAGGAACATTGCTAAGCTGAGTCCCATTCTTTCCCGCTCTGAACTTGAGACTGTTCTCCACACCTTCATCTCCTCACATTTAGACTACTACTACCAGGCTAAAGGTCAAAGGTGACAGATCATCTGCTGCTGTGGCCCCTAGACTCTGGACCTCTCTCCCCATGAGCCTGAGATCAGTGGACTCAGTGGTCTCCTTCAAAAAGCAGCTTAAGACTCACTTGTTCAAGCTGGCTTTTGTGTGACCTTCTTCACCACTCTCTCTTTATTCTGCTCTCCCCACCTATTCCACCTTCCTCAGGATCCACTGATTTCCCTCTTTCCTATTCACTCTCTCTCTTTCTTAACATTTTTTAATCACAATTGTCTATTTTTGCTCATTTAAAATATATTTTTCTTCTAATTGCATAAAAAGAAGAAAAGTGTAGTACCAGCTTTCAGACACTGGAAGACACCAAATTCCCACCACCTTTCCTAAATGATGCAAACCAGAGTGTTCTGTTTTTATCCAGCAGAGAGCGCAATTTCCCTTTTTTTTCAAGGCAACAAGATAGTGTTTGGAAGAATGAAGGCATTATTTTCGTTTACTGTTTATTTTTATAAAAGCCCTTAATGTGTTTGGTTTATATAAATTTTACTTTGCATGTACTTACAATTTGTTGTGAATTAATTATTCTATTTGGATTAAAACTTCAGTTATATCAGTATTATTGATCCAGGAAATATATGAATATTTAGGATTAAAAATTCTAAAATTCCAACAAATGTTAAAAAATGTTGCGTTTGATAGTTTTGAATCCATTTGGCCACAAAATATTTAAAACATATTATACAAAAGAAAAGGCACAGATGGTGGCTAAGACCTCGTCTGACGTGTAAAATTGTTGTTCAAACTTTGTACAGTTTATGTGAAGATGTAAAATTATTAATTCATAAAGGTTTGCAGCTACTGCTCCCATTTTCCAAAGTGGTATCCACTCTCAAATCAAAATTTATTCAGGTGGCAAATAAGAAAATAAACTTTTTTACAATGTTTCATGTCGATTTACACATATACTAACATACTAACATTTATACATCTGAATAAATCAAAAGTTCCCTTCAAAATGAGACCAAAAGTAAATATACTCATAAAATTACAATTATGTCATTTTCGAGGAACTTTTTCAAAAAAAGGACGTGAGACTCAACGGTTTAAAGGCAGGCTAATGCTCCCATAGTCAGAGATTTAAAAAATCCACCAACAAACAAATTTCAGGTACCTAACCCCTAACCCATCAGGTCCTTTCTAGTTAAATAGAACTAGTTAAATATAACTAGAAAGGAAAAACAAACCCAGTTTACAGGTGTATGCTCTGTAAACTACATTTATTATCACTTCTGTGACCAAGATCCTTTTCAAATAGAGCAATGCTGCTGTTGTGTCCTTGAGCAAGACACTTAACCCACCTTGTCAGTGCCAGTGTCCAGCAGGCCTCACCTCTGTCAGTGCGCCCAAAGGCAGCTGTGGCTACATCGCAGCTCATCACCACCAGCGTGTGAATGACTGATTGTGTTGTGAAGCGCCTTGGGGGTTGTAGAAAATATTAAATAGAAGTCAAACATTGTTTGTTAAATTTATTTAAATATTGTGTGCTCCCTAAGACACCATTCTGTTAATGGAAGAAAATCATACGTTTGTTTTGTGAAAATCTACTGATTTATGCACAGATTTGCAGAAATAAATCATACAGCGATTATCCATGAAGTCACAAAAACATGATACCATTCTGGGGGTTATTGTTTTATTGGACCTAATCTGGGGCAGCTAAGATTGTATTGCGTCTCTTTTATCCCCCAAATAAATGACGTTAGTATAAAACTCGCTCTAGTATCAAAGAGTACATGTCTTACCTATAAATTCATTTGCTTAAAATTAATAATCTGATTTTTTTTTTTTGTAAAATGAGAAACAAAAACTTTTAGTCAGCTAAAACAAAGATTAAAATTAAGAGGCCCACTAAAAACAGCACTACCACCTATTTGTGTACCTCAATCCGCAATGTCTAGTGCCAACCTCCCTCCTCATCCCTTAATCACTTCAAGACTTACATAGAAGTCGACCGATAATGGTTTTCCTTTTGCAGATACCAATGCTGATATGTAGAGGTCAGGCCGGTCACTGTTACTAATTCTAAGAGCTAATACAAACAGCTAATACTAAGAGCTAATACTAACATCTAATTCTAAGAGCTAAGACTAAGAGCTAATACTAACAGCTAATACTAACATCTAATTCTAAGAGCTAATACTAACAGCTAATACATCTAATTCTAAGAGCTAATACTAACAGCTAATACTAAGAGCTAATACTAACATCTAATTCTAAGAGCTAATACTAAGAGCTAATACTAACATCTAATTCTAAGAGCTAATACTAAGAGCTAATACTAACATCTAATTCTAAGAGCTAATACTAACAGCTAATACTAAGAGCTAATACTAACAGCTAATTCTAAGAGCTAATACTAACATCTAATTCTAAGAGCTAATACTAACAGCTAATACCAAGAGCTAATACTAACATCTAATTCTAAGAGCTAATACTAAGAGCTAATGCTAACAGCTAATACTAACAGCTAATGCAAAGAGCTAACACAAAACAATTTAAGCTGAATTCGTTTTTGAAATCTGAACTTAACCAACTGGTAATCTGAATTTTGGGCACTGCTCAGTGTTAACATCAGATTTCTAACTAAAGTTGTCATGGATTTTGAAAATTACAAAATAAACACTTGTGGATTCCACTGCTGATTTAGGGAAGGATGGACATTTTGTGGAGGAAAGTGATTTTTGCAATAAGAATTTAAACTTTGTTGATTGCATCCAGGACTGTTTTTCATTAGTCTTTGATCAAACAACACTATTATACCTGGGAGGACATCTGTCCCGCCTTTCATCTTGAATGAGGCTGAAATCTATTAAAATATAATTAGTGTAATGTAGTTTTTAGTTACTTTTCCAACATGAACATATTCTGAGACACAGCAGCATATTCATGAATATTAACCAAGAGGAGATAAGACCTTTCGGTGTTAACTGCTGACCAATGTCCTGCATCATCTGCCTGAAATGTTTCCAGCAGAACAAATGGAGCCACGACTGAAAAGGATTTTCTGACCCCCTTGTTTCCACCAGAAGATGGCAACAGAGCCACGTGAATGAGTTTCTTGCCAAATGCAGTGAGATTTTGAGCTTTAAAATACAGCAAAAACATCTTGATATTATCCCATAATCCTCTTAAACTCAAAGACACAAAAGACAAAAATGTGTGTGCCATTTATGAAGAACTAGAAACCGTCGTCGTCTTCCTCCGCTTATCCGGGTCCGGGTCGTGGGGGCAGCATCCCAACTAGGGAGCTCCAGACCGTCCTCTCCCCGGCCTTCTCCACCAGCTCCTCCGGCAGGACCCCAAGGCGTTCCCGGACCAGATTGGAGATGTAACCTCTCCAACGTGTCCTGGGTTGACCCGGGGGCCTCCTGCCGGCAGGACATGCCTGAAACACCTCCCCAGGGAGGAGTCCAGGAGGCATCCTGACCAGATGACTAGAAACCAAATCAAACAAATTAAAGCTAAATGGACCGAGTAAAGAAAACTAAAGGTTTTGTGTTCTTTCTAAGAATCTAAATTAAGAAGAAATATCAGATAGATGGACGGACGGACGGACGGACGGACAGACAGACAGATAGATAGGCGGGTGGGTGGGTGGATGGATGGATGGATGGATGGCCGGCCGGCCAGCCAGCCAGTCAGCCAGTTATCTATCTATCTGGTGGCGATGGAGTGGGCGATGGTGGCACAGGAGTTAAGTGCTCGCCCCGTAATCGGAAGGTTGCAGGTTTGAGCCCTGCTCAGTCTGTCACAGTCGTGTCCTTGAGCAAGACACTTAACCCACGTTGCCTGCTGGTGGTGGTCGGAGGGACCGGTGGCGCTTGTGCTCGGCAGCCTCGCCTCTGTCAGTGCGCCCCAGGGCAGCTGTAGCAACATTGTAGCTTATCCCCACCAGTGTGTGAATGTGTGTGTGTGTGAATGGGTGAATGACTGATTGTGTTGTAAAGCGCCTTGGGGGGTTCCAGGACTCTAGAAGGCGCTGTATCAAATACAGGATATCTATCTATCTATCTATCTATCTATCTATCTATCTATCTATCTATCTATCTATCTATCTATCTATCTATCTATCTATCTATCTATCTATCTATCTATCTATCTATCTATCTATCTATCTATCTATCTATCTATCTATCTATCTATCGATCGATCGATCGATCGTCAGGTCCATAAATATTGGGACATCGACACAGTGCTAACATTTTTGGCTCTATACACCACCACAATGGATATCAAATGAAACGAACAAGATGTGCTTTAACTGCAGACTGTCAGCTTTTATTTGAGGGTATTTACATCCAAATCAGGTGAACGGTGTAGGAATTACAACAGTTTCCATATGTGCCTCCCACTTGTTAAGGGATCAAAACTAATGGGACCATTGGCTTCTCAGCTGTTCCATGGCCAGGTGTGTGTTATTCCCTCATTATCCCAATTACAATGAGCAGATAAAAGGTCCAAAGTTCATTTCAAGTGTGCTATTTGCATTTGGAATCTTGCTGTCAACTGTTAAGATGAGATCCAAAGAGCTGTCACTATCAGTGAAGCAAGCCATCATTAGGCTGAAAAAACAAAAGAAACCTATCAGAGAGATAGCAAAAACATTAGGCGTGGCCAAAACAACAGTTTGGAACATTCTCAAAAAGAAGGAATGCACCGGTGAGCTCATCAACACCAAAAGACCCGGAAGACCATGGAAAACAACTGTGGTGGATGATCAAAGAATCCTTTCCCTGGTGAAGAAAACACCCTTCACAACAGTTGGCCAGATCAAGAACACTCTCCAGGAGGTAGGTGTATCTGTCAAAGTCAACAATCAAGAGAAGTCTCCACCAGTGTGAATACAGAAGGTTCACCACAAGATGTAAACCATTGGTGAGCCCCCAAAAAAGGAAGGCCAGATTAGAGTTTGCCAAACAACATCTAAAATAGCCTTCATAGTTCTGGAACAACATCCTATGGGCAGATGAGACCAAGATCAACTTGTACCAGAGTGATGGGAAGAGAAGTGTATGGAGACGGAAAGGAACTGCTCATGATCCTCAGCATACCACCTCATCAGTGAAGCATGGTGCTGGAAGTGTCATGGCGTGGGCATGTATGGCTGCCAGTGGAACTGGTTCTCTTGTATTTATTGATGATGTGACTGCTGACAAAAGCAGCACGATGAATTCTGAAGTGTTTTGGGCAATATTATCTGCTCATATTCAGCCAAATGCCTCAGAACTCATTGGATGGAGCTTCACAGTGCAGATGGACAATGACCCAAAGCATACCGCAAAAGCAACCAAAGAGCTTTTGAAGGGAAAGAAGTGGACTGTTTTGCAATGGCCAAGTCAATCACCTGATGTGAATCTGATTGAGCATGCATTTCACTTGCTGAAGACAAAACTGAAGGGAAAATGCCCCAGGAACAAGCAGGAACTGAAGACTTTTGCAGTAGAGGCCTGGCAGAGCATCACCAGGGATGAAACCCAACGTCTGGTGATGTCTATGTGTTCCAGACTTCAGGCTGTAATTGACTGCAAAGGATTTGCAACCAAGTATTGAAATATATAAGTTTGATTTATGGTTCTTATTCTGTCCCATTACTTTTGGTCCCTTAACAAGTGGGAGGCACATGTGCAAACTGTTGTAATTCCTACACCGTTCACCTGATTTGGATGTAAATATCCTCAAATAAAAGCTGACCGTCTGCAGTTAAAGCACATCTTGTTTGTTTCATTTGATATCCATTGTGGTGGTGTATAGAGCCCAAAATGTTAGCACTGTGTCGATGTCCCAAAATTTATGGACTTGACTGTATCTATTGTCTTTTCTCCAGAATTCCTGGCTCATGAAATCTTCGCCCAAACATGTTTCCATTCGAACTTCTTTCAGGTCTTCAGCAAAGCTAACTTCCTCAGTTTCATCCACATTTTTCCAAAGACAGCAACTTCCATCATCAACCCATTATTTTGTCTTTACATTCTTGTACTTTTGTAAGATTTGTAATGATCGGAGTTCTCAGAAAACAAATTGTTGAGGTCCACCGTATTTTCATCCTGTCCAAATGTTAGATGGTGAAAATGAAAGCATGGATGGAGCTGCATTTGTAGGTCACACAAAGGGTGATTGACGGTATCATAGGTATGCCACTTTGTAACTGATGGGTCAAGAGGGACCGGAGGCCAAATGGGAGTGGCGGTATATATGCCGGAGCTTCAAGGGAAGATCAGTGGGGCTGTTTGTGTATATACTAGGAAAATGCTAGTGCTGGTAACAGTGGTTCAGTAGATGGAGGAAAACAGCACCTCCAAATCTGAGACCATGGTTCTCGACCGGAAAAGGGTGGCTTGCCACCTCCGGGTCGGGGGAGAGGTCCTACCTCAAGTGGAGGAGTTTAAGTATCTCGGGGTCTTGTTCACGAGTGAGGGTAGGAGGGATCGGGAGATCGACAGGCGGATTGGTTCGGCGTCTGCAGTGATGCGGACGCTGAGCCGATCTGTCGTGGGGAAGAGGGAGCTGAGCCAGAAAGCCAGGCTCTCGATTTACCGGTCGATCTACGTCCCAATCCTCACCTATGGTCATGAGCTTTGGGTAATGACCGAAAGAACGAGATTGCGGATACAAGCGGCCGAAATGAGTTTCCTCCGTAGGGTGGCCGGGCTCAGCCTTAGAGATAGGGTGAGGAGCTCGGACATTCGGGAGGGACTCGGAGTAGAACCGCTGCTCCTCCGGATCGAAAGGAGCCAGTTGAGGTGGTTTGGGCATCTGGTCAGGATGCCTCCTGGACGCCTCCCCGGGGAGGTGTTTCGGGCATGTCCTGCCGGCAGAAGGCCCCCGGGTCGACCCAGGACACGTTGGAGAGGTTACATCTCCAATCTGGTCCGGGAACGCCTTGGGGTCCTGCCGGAGGAGCTGGTGGACAAGGCCGGGGAGAGGACGGCCTGGAGCTCCCTAGTTGGGATGCTGCCCCCGCGACCCGGACCCGGATAAGCGGAGGAAGACGAGACGAGACGAGAGACGAGGAAAACATTGAGAATTGTATGTTTGGACTCAAGAGCAGCTTTCAAAAGCTTGAGAAGAGGACATACGGACAGCAGACCGGATGTAGTAGTGCAGGTGGTATGAACTTGTTCAGTTTTTGTGGGTGCTAGCATATTGTAGGGTTGGGGTTAATGATATGGTGGATGACAAAGGGGCAGCAAAGCAACTAACTGATATAAGCTTGGTCTGGGGAAAACTGAAAACAAGACCATAAAATGGGTAATGAAGATGAATGTCTGGCATTCTGGTAAAGGGGTGTGTTGAGGAGGACGGGAGAAGGAGAAATGAGGAGGTTGGGTCATCCAGTGTGAACTCTGTGGGAAAAGGGAGGTGGTTGCAGGGGCGCCTCCAGAAAATTTTGATGGGGTGGCCAGATGCATTGCACCTTTATTTGTTTTTATTAAAAAATCAGTAGGTATCCAAAACCTTTAACTTAAATTTTACAAACACACAAATTTTAGAAAAACACATTTCAGTTATTTAAAATGTTATCCCAAATTTAATAAAAACAATTTATTTTTAGGGTAATTCACCTGTTGCTGTGTTAAAAAAAACTAGAGATAAAAACTTATTTAAAATGGTGAGCTGCAGAAACATGTATTTTTTAAATTCTGATTATTTCTTTAGTCATTAATTGTAATATTTTATTTTGTTTCACAATTATGTCTTGAATAAACGAGATCAATATATGGTTTGACTGAATATTAATATGATTTGTTAACACCAGCTTTTCCTGGAATGGACGTGGAATGAGACAAGCAATGAATTGGAGCACGGTTGGGGTTTCTGGCACTGGGATAGGGAGGAGAATTTATGGGAGAAAAGTGGGAAAGATGAACAGACTCCGGATCGGTAGGTGGCGTGGCGGTAATGCACTTTAAGCTGTTTACATCCCGCCATAAAAACCACAAAACTAAAAGGAAGAAGAGGCTTTTATGTTGAAAAGGCCAACCGGAAGCCCGAGTTTTACCTCTGGTTGTTGACCACGGTGCTAGAGCTGAGGGAGCGACCCAGCTCGCTGCCACCTCAACATGGAGTAGCCAGGTCCTAGCGTTAACTACCGAAAAGCGGATTCGGTAGAGAGGAGTACCCGGTGCCCTGTTCAGAATTCACCATCAGAAACTCTCGCAAATGATACAGCGGCCATTTTCCGCAAAGTCCAAGTGAAGTCCGGCTTTTATTAGAAAGATGGCGAACGACTCTCCGGCTAAAAGTCTAGTAGACATAGATTTGGCTTCATTGCGGGTGAGTGCTGCCGACTGAGCCAATGTTTTTCTGCTGTTTTACCGTCTTTTATTAAAAATGTTACATAAAAACAGACTTCTGTTGGATTAGCGAAGGCTAGCCACTTTAAGCCTGTTAAAAATTGTTTCTTCGTGTTGGAAAATGACCGTTGAGACACAGCGAGGTGTTGCCAGCGTCTGCTTTTCCTTTGTTCGAGATGCGTTTGGCATGAGGGAAGAACAGGGCGCAACAGCTGGCTTGCAGTGGTCAATATTAATACATTTTTGTATTTGTAACATGGGGTTTGACCTAATCTGTTTGCGCTTTTCTTTTCAGGATCCAGCTGGGATATTTGAGCTGGTGGAGGTAGTTGGAAATGGAACCTATGGACAAGTCTACAAGGTTGGTTGGAGGCGCAGCGCGTGGCCTGTCTTGTTTTCACAGTGGAAGTAAAGCACAATCTGGTGTTTTTTCTTTGGAAGTCTAATTCCTAAAAAAGTGACATCAAGCTAATGGGTTTGAGGCCTTCTGAGAGAGGTTTATGTGGAAGGAGGAAACACATGGACGAGTGTACTGGAGCAGTTTCAAGCTAGTGTTATTGTTACCAGTTAGGCTAATGGCTGAATCAGACCATTTACTGTCTGCATCACCTAGCTTACATCACCTGGCTTTACTGACAAGTAGGGAAGTGTGGATGGAGAAGCACCATCAGTTCCAAGAGAAACGCTTCCAGCTGCAGAAACTCATTTTTTATTAGTTGAGGATAAAACCAGTAAATTTCATGTCATGCTTAAATCAGTGCCTCTTTTCCCAGTTCAGGGAATGAGAATCCTGCTTTCAGGACCATCTGCTAGTGGTGTCACATTTCCGTGTTTAAAGTGAACATTGCTACTGTTGAAAGACATCTCCAAGGAGGGAAGCGGACAAAAACATCTCATAGGGTCTTGTGTTTTTCTTATCTTATAGTGGAAACTCTTGACATTTAACAGCACAAAAATCTAGTTTTAACACGCCTGGCTTTGACTGTTAATAGTCTTACGGATTTAGAAGGAAAAATAAAAGTGACAAACTAAGCTGAGCATTAAATTCCAGCAGCCCACAGTGCTCCACTGACCTGCATTCAATCCCCCCCAGCATAATAGCCTCCCAGCATCTCCCCCTGCCTCCAAACACATCAGGCTAGTGTGACTGGATGCTGACATGCTATCTTCTCACCAGATAGGTTTAAATTGAATGTGTGGGATAGAGAATAACATCTTCTCCCCCTTTTTGTCCCTTTAATCTCTTCCCCCATTCACTGTTCAGTGCTAATTCTATTTGCAAGTGCTGCCACGTGAGAATGCAGCTCCCAGAAATGGGCAGATTTGCTTGCAGTTGACACAAAAACTTAGTAGCTTGCATGGGATAAGAAAAATCTGTCTCCAGCCGAGTCCTTGCCAAGAGCTGGAGCTCTGCAGCGGTGGCTTGCTATCGATCGGCTGTCGATCAGTCCAGTGGCGTTAACCCTAATGTGCAGTGAGAGCATGTGCTGCAGAGAAGAGGTGGTGGTGGTGGTGGGAGGGCTGCAACTGATAGAAGAGCAGCTGTCCAGTTCCAGACAGAACCGGCCTGCTGCTCCTCACAAAGCTGGGCTTGTCTCCGTGCTCGTTTGGGTCTCTCATTCTGTCAGTCACTCGGACCCACAGAAAGGAGGTGTTTGTCTGCGGGGGTTTCAAAGTCCATCCGACTGAATAATCACAACAGCCTCCCTCCCAACTGAAACGGGGAGGAGTTTCATCTCCCTCTGAGGCTTTTTCTGCTTTGTCCAGTGCTCGGTCACAGTTAGCAAGCCCCGTTTTCAGGAGGCACAATGTGACCAAGGTTCTTCACACTCTGAGATTTGGTAACTTTTGATTCCTCTGACATGTCTCCCTTTCAGGTGGATTTATTTTTTGTTATTGAAATTAACCTCTGAGAGTAGAACGTCCCAATTTCCCCCAAAAAGTTAGATTTGCAAATCATTCTGAATGTTTAATGCACTATTTTATATGGATCTAAATCTACCAAGCTATTTAATGTCATGATTACAGATTTGATTATAATTATAATCAAATACCAGTAGTGCCATTTTCATAGCTCTAGTTTTTGTGTTTTGGACACAAATGTAACTGTATTCACTAAAGTTTTGATCAAACATTTTAGGTTTTCCTGTGACTGATCAGAATCTTAAAACAACAGATTCCTTCATCCATCCAACGCAAATATAATCTGATGGCTTAACCTAAATAAACATTTACTTACAACACTTGGAACCAGAAAAGCATTCTCACTTACTAAAAAGCTTTCTGCAGTGAGCTTGCTGTCGAATCTTCTTTTGGATAGGTTTTTCATACTCCTGCATGGTTTATAACTGATGAATTAGGTAGTGGCTAATGTCGGCTAATTAAGCAGCCTACCTCTAGTCTCAGGTTTCTGAATCACTGCTGCAGATTTTGTTCAAAAAGGCCATCAGACAACCAGTTTGCTCTGGTAATACAACATATGTTTTTATTATGTTTTTAAAAATCTAGAATAAGAATTTTGTCAACTTTTTCTTTTCAAGCATCTGTCAGTGTTGTGTTAATAAAGTTTCACCTCTAATGAAAGGCAAGTACAGTGAAAACTGGGCGTGGTGTCGAATGCAAAACCACAGTTCTGCCCATAAATGCATAAATCCATGTGTTCATTCATAGTTTTGATGCCTTCAGTGAGAATCTCCCAATGTAAATGATCATGAAAATAAAGACAACACATTGAATGAGAAGGTGTGTCCACACTGTTGGCCTGTACTGTATGAGCAGTGTGCCTCAAAGCAGTGATGCACACATCCTTGCACATTTGAAAATGCATCCTTTTGCATAAACGGTATGCATCATACCCTGGAAGAAAGTCCTGGTTCACTGAGAGGTTCAAATTAGAAGTGCTGGTTCTGTACCCACTGGTACCTGCCCACTTAAAGCTCTGGTCTCGCCAAAAAAGTCCCAACGATACAAACGTGAATACAACTGTGACTGAAGGAGTGCAAAGATGCACAACAAACTATTTATTCATGTCAGGAAACGACAGGAAACAGGAGTTTAGATGTGGTGACTGGAGGACGACAAAGAGGACACATTTGTTTGTGTTAAAAATTCTCTGAAGTACATGGATACTGGACTGATGAAAGATACCGCAGAAAAGCGCTACGTCCTCTGCTGTCCTAGTGGAGAAGTGCTTCACAACATTCACGCACCAACGGAGAAGTAAAAAAGGAAAACATCTCAGTCAATATATGTGTGTGTGTGTTTTAGTGCCAACCTGCTGGTGCTAGACTAGGCTTAAGGCTCCCGGTTGCCATGTCAGTGTTCTTGTTGCCACACTGAGCTGCTGGTGCTCTCAACCTGCCCGCTCTGTCAGGTGGGCGGCCATCGCCCCTGGAGACACGCCAGCTTCTGAAAACACAGCACAGCACTTTTTTCTGACAGCCATAATGAAAATTATGTTGCGGCTTAAAAGCCTTTTTTAAATTACCTAATTTTGCTCTGGACTGAAATGAAAGCTATAGTCTATGAAGAGATTGATCAGATAAAGTTGTGTGCAGCATTACCTGCAGCCCGACATGCTCTCTTCCTGAAGGGTTTGTCTTACTTGCTGTGAAATGAATTTGTTGCATTTCTGCATGCAAATCTGATCCCAGGGCAGTTTGGCGGATTTCTCAGAGATTCTTTGAGTAGGAGTTGCTCGTACGTTTTACTCGACATCATCTGGAAACGCATGGCTTGTCTCGCACTGTTCTTGGATTACACAAAGAGATTCTCACTGAGCTTCTCCTCCTGTTTATTAGTGAAACCTAGCTGACCGAGCTGTCTTTAAATAGCAGGATTTAAGAAAAAGCCACTGAGGAGAACAGAAAATAACAACTTCCTCCAGTCGTCAATATTCCCTTTTCTCTGCAGTATAACTACACATATACAGGCTTGAGTTGGCAGCCGCTCACTGAACTGTCTGCTGTGCATTCACGGGGTGTACCAAAGATGCACCCAACCGTTTTCTCTCACTGAGATGTGCCTTGTGTTCATCTGGTGTGTAAAATATACATCAAACTGACAAGATTTTCTCATAATTAAATCATTATCAGCAAATGGATCATTTCTCTATTTAATTTGCACTCGTAGCAGGCTCTTCTAGCATCCTAATGTGACATATAATGATGTCATGAAGACAAATTTCCTACAAGAAGCTAAATTATTAGGATTTCTGCAGCTGAGCAGCTTTTGTCCTTTGTTTACTCTCCCAACCTAAGTGGCAGCCTCGCCTATGCACTCGATATAAGAAGGGTTGTCCTCGATGGGGGGGTGATCTATGCCTGACAGGCGCGAGGGTGGGAACTGCTGCTGAGAAAGGAGTGAAGCTCCTTCTGCAATCTGTTAAATGGCTAGTAGGACCATCTGGTGGTGGGCCAGGTTGGTATGTACCCAAGGGCAGTGGTTAAAGCTGCAAAGTGTTTAAGAAGTTTGTTTGGATTTTAAGAAAATATTTTTTATGTGAAATCGGCTGCACACATACTTGGCGTTTCAAATAAAGTAATTGGTAAAGGTGCGTCAGTCAGCTTGATAAATCAAGGGGTGAAGATTTCGCTGGTCTGCTCAGGGCGTTGTGCCTACTGATGACATTATACAACATGATATGCTGGACGTTGGTACATAGATCTATAAGATTTTGGGTGGTCTGAGCAAATTGCAGAAGCAACGGCACGTTAACATTGAAGAATTTGGTTAATCCAGACAAATTGCGGAAGTTACATTGGATTGTAATGTGCTTGGGTAGCCAGATTTCCACAAGATGGTAGTTTTTACTGGGAAACATGGATGGCGTGTACGATGAAACGGTCTTAAATTTGTAATTGATATTTGTCCAATGAAAAATCCCAGACTATACTCAGTATACTCAAAGTAATTTATTCATTTAGGGAAAATATGTTTTGGGGGATTCATGTGAAATTGGGCACTGTTTTAAATAAGCTTGTTGACCAACTAGTAACATAAGAACAAACAAAAGTATAAAATAGATGCACAAAACGTTTCGCTTCCAAGTGTCTCTTGTGAGATGAGGGGTTGGCATGTTGGAGAGCGGAGAGTAATGTTCTCATCAAGAACATTAACTCATTCACAGAATTCAAAAAACAACTCAAAACTCACTTCTTCATAACCACTAGGGTTGTCACGGTAACCAGTGTAGCGGTAAACCCTGGTAAAAAAGTTGACACTAATAATAACCGTCTTGTTTTTTTAAAAACTATATTATCTTGGTGGATTACCGTGGCTGCGGTGTAGGCGCGGTGACCCTTACCAGCCACCGTATCATCTGCTGAAGTTGCCGGCGGCACATGCGCGCTTTGTTGTTTA